TTATTATTCTTAAGAAAAGTCTCTTTTACACTGGTCTGAGGATCAGGCATTCACGTGTGCAGAGCCACACTACGAACGTCAGATATATCCGAGCCGGTAAATGTTATGCTACCGAAGACCCGATAGAAGGCGCCCGCTGAATGGTCAGAATCTGGAGGTCAAGACGCAGTCTTGTTTTGCATTTATCGCCGAATCTGCGCGAATATCATAGATGCTGCCTTGTGTGCAAGCCCCTTCAACCTTACCTGTTCTCTTTATTACGAAAAATGATATTCTAAGACTAAACTGAAGAATAAGTCCAGGCCTATTCATGCTACCCCAATGTTAGCACTGTAGTTTACATACTTTGAACATCCTTCCCCAGAGTAACCCCCGCGTTTTTTTATTTCCAGAGCTGAAACTGAGATGATTGTCGACTGCGTGCAGGCTCTGCGTCGCACCGCCTGAATGTGCTAGCGCCACCAATACAATTCTGTTACTTTAGTCTGGTGTCATACGAAATTTGGACTCCTATGAAACATGTTCTCTTTTACCCGCGGTTCTAGAGCCAATATATTTTTTTTTGGGGGGGGGGGGCTAGCAGTGGATCCAGATTTTTTCAGGGAGGCGTGCTGAAATGAAGACCGGATATTTTCTCCGGAGACTTAGGCCTCCAAAAATCAATGGGGGGGGGGGGGGGGCGGCTCGTGCCATATCTTCAATGGGGAGCGCTGATAAAATCCTACAATCATGCATATACTATATTTACTAAAAGTGCACAAATGCACCCTTCTCACGACTATTTATTTAGGGGGAGACCCGTCCGCACGCACGTCACATTCTTACATTTTGCTAGTGCAATTTCTTTTTTATGGAATTTTTTTTTTGGGGGGGGCTAGACAATTATTTTTTTTTGGAGGGGGGGGGGGGGGGGGCGCCCCTAGCCCCCCGTAGAACCGCCACTGCTTTTACCCTATATGGGTTCTAACCCTCACACGTGACTTGTCGCTCTCCTAATTATCTTCACTTATAGGCATGCGCAATACCACCAATGAGTCCTAAATTCACATGATACTAGAGCCGCAAAAAGTTTAGAATTTGTCATTTTAATTGGTCACATGAATTTCACATAATAACTCACATTTTTATAAACTAACTTCTGGGAAAATAAGAATGGTTAATAATTTGTCATTAAAAAAAAGTTGACAGAGAGATTAACCACTCTTATTTTAAAGATCTGCAAACTGAGATGATAAAAAGCGTCAGAATTTCACGGAAATTAATTTGAGATCAACTCAGTCAAGGCGCTATCAACAATAATTATTTATACAATAGACCATGGTATTGTACGGAAGCGTAGAAGGGCCAAAAGAAATTAAGAAAAAAATTAGCTACTATCTCGCCGCGGCGAATTACTATCTCGCCGCGGCGAGTTACTATGTCGCCGCGGCAAATTACTATTTTGTATCGGTGAGCGTTGGGCACAACAATTGCGATCCCTCCGGGTCCTATGGAACGCCAAAGAGGCATCGGCGTTGCCATGAGGGTTTCCATCCTAGGGGACTTGGACGGGGGGGGGGGGGGGGGGGGCTTGAGGTTACAATGGAGGGGCGCCCCAAAATTTCATCCGAGCTGAAAGGCCGTGAGACAGGGTTCCTTCACCGGATATCCGCCCAATACCCGCCCTAGTGTAGTGTCCCACATACCACTCGGCCGGGCCACTATAGATGCACTACATTAATCCGTGTTCCACTCGCGCTCGCGGGATAACTAACTAAAACACATGGACAACCGGGACGCTATACCATGGCCAGTTTTGCCGCAACGTTGACGTAAATATGACGTGCGCGTTATATTATTAGCAGATTAATTATCGTGACTCTGCGTGACTTCCCGTGGGTCTTGGTATAAACCAATCGAAAACAACCAAAAAATTTAACCTTTTTTTGGGGTGGAGAACTCGTGAAGGAGGGAGTCGTAAACTTTGTAACTGCATTCCATATGGATAGAACCGTATTAATATTCGTGACGCTTGAAAGTATTGAAAAATGACGAACTCAAAGCCTATTTTTTCAAATTGTAATGAAAAATACTGAACATATCAAAACGATTTTTTAGTACATAGTAGGATCATGATCTCTGAGATCACTAGCTAAAGAAATTAGAACCCAGCCCTGTGTGGGTGATTAGGGTGTTAGTTTTGCCAGAAGTTGATCACAGATTGCATAAATCCATCACCACTCGCGAAATTCCATCACCGATTGTGACAGTCAATCACCGATTGCAAAACTCCACTGCCTATCGATAAAGTGCATCACCGATTTGATGATCACATTAAATGCCTCTTTGGCGTTCCATAAGACCCAAAGAGTATCGCTATTCGTCGTGCCTGACGTTCGCCGATGCAAAACAGTAAGTCGCCGCGGCGAGTTTTTAGGGAGGTTTCGCAAGCGAACGGATACGCTTACACTTACGTTTAGCTATCCGTATCCGTTTTTTACTTACGTGTAGCGAGCGAGATATGCGTGTCGTCTGCACGTTTAGCGGATAGTGAGTGGCGTATGACGTCATACGTGCAGACGACACGCATATCTCGCTCGCTACACGTAAGTAAAAAAACGGATACGGATAGCTAAACGTAAGTGTAAGCGTATCCGTTCGCTTGCGAAACCTCCCTAGTAACTCGCCGCGGCGAGATAGTAATTCATTTCGCGATATCGTAATTCGACGCGGCGAGAAAGTAACTCGCCGCGGCGAGATGGTAACTCGCCGCGGCGAGATAGGAACTAAATTTTTCTTAATTTCTTTTGGCCCTTCTACGCTTCCGTAGTATTGTTTATGTATTTTAGATGGGCGATGTAAAACTAGAGGGGCGTTTTTAATGGGGATTCCCCTATCTCGGCAAACCTATTGTGTACAAGTCCACGACGGCGCTCACAAAAGAAAACTGACAAGAGAAAACCTGCGGCAGAATGGTATCGACTGAATGCGGAAGTTTTTGAACTATAAATCTGCACTGCACCCGCATACGTTGCTCGCGCCTTCTTCAAGTTCAGGGTCGGCATACGATGTTCTCAGTTTCGCTGAGCTTTTGATATGATTGAGGGGGCTTTCTTCTAAGGCTAGATCCATGCTTCGTTACAGGTAGGAATTTCTATTCTGTGTTTGTTCTTGCAGTTGCCACCATAGTGGTTTCCACATCTGGTATCCTGTTTTAATAGCACTTAAGGTTGGGCGATTGTGTAGTGTCGGGCCCCTATTTTGGTTTGGCAAAGTCAAGGGTATTTTTTTATCATTCCAAAATGACCTGTTCAACCTTAAGCAGATTCTTTTGATTCTAATGATATCGGTTTTTTTTTTAGTTCGGAACTGATTCTTGCGGTATAAAATACGATTTTCTCACGCGCTTTAACGGTTGGTGCCATGCGAATCACCGTGGGTTTCGCGCGTTGACGGTGCTTCGAGGCGCTCGCCATCTTTCTTTTCGTGTTGCGTCTTCGTTTTACCCCCAAATTTCGCTCGAAAATTCAAAACCCTGATCTCTGTCTATGACATACCTGTTGGTTGTGGCTATAGTTTGGTAAGTCAAATGGAACATGGCCCGTCACTACACAGGCGGGCGTTTGAGTCATTCAAGGGGCGACTATTTATATATCGACAAAGTTGGGCTAGTTCAATTGAAAAAAACAACAACCCCAAAACCAAACTTATTACATTTGCCAAGGAGGTCATGTATTCACCGGCGTTGGTTTGTTGGTTGGTTAGTGTGTTTGTCTGTGAACAGGGTAACTCCAAAAGTTCTGGACGGATTTTCATGAAATTTTTTTAGGGGTGGTCCTTGGTACAACAAATCGATTCGATTTTGTTTAGCCTTGGCGGAGGTGTGCGCTCTCTGAGTGCTTTCTAATTTAAGAGCTTTAAAGACTGATTTGCGATGAAAGATCTTTTTCCAACTCGAATTATGCTTGAATTGCGTCCGCAACATTTTAGTAAAAGTTGCAATTACAAAATGACTTTTGCAGCCTCAAGCAGACTTTTTTGTTTGGATTAACGTTTGGTTGTTTTTTTAGTATAATTTTGGTCAGTGATGTTGAAGAAAATGCGATGTGCGAATCAAACCACAGTCTTTTCATTCTCACATAGGAACGGGGTCCTGAACTACATTTTAGGGCATTTTTGTTGCGATAACTCTTGCCCAGAATAAATAATTTCATGGAAGTTGAACCTAGTTTGCTATTTTATTATCAGTAGCAGTAAGTGAACTGAATGGGGAATGGTTTATGGACTTGTATAAACTTTTGAATTTTCCACCAAAAAATACAACCTTCGGTAAAAACTAATTGGGGACAAATGCTTCATAATTTAAATTGGTGCAAGCTTTTAGCTTTGCTCTATATATGCTTTTGAAAACCACAAGCAAATCTGGGAAAGAGAGTAGGCCTATGCTAGTCGAAAATGTGGGACTCTCAATATTGTGTATGGCCCTATGGCACTTTTCTTTGGTGACTTTATTTTAAATTTTCTCTTTTTTTCTCACAAAATTGGAAATTATTAATTGTCATTAAAATTTACATTGGCTAACCATTGGTGATGTTGTCAAACAGGGATACGCTTCTAGTCGCTTTGCTTGTTCATTCTTAAAATTTGTTGGACAATAATCTTGCAACTGCTCAGTACCAAAACAAAGAGCATGCACATTATACTTAAACTGTACTAAATTTTTCTATGTAACATTTGTTGCATAAATTAAGAATGGCGACCAATTGTTTCTGCATTCCCATCCTTAAAAAAATATGGTCCGTTCTTTGTGAGGTTAACTTCTTTCATAATTATGGCATATCCCTCAGCGTTGGGAGTACCATTCTTTATTGTCCACATATGAGTAAAACTATGGGTCAAGTCCTAACTGACTGTTCTAATAACTCTCTTTTATTCCAGGAAATGAAGGAACAAATGAACAGAGCTTGATTGAATTGAATGTTGAACTGGTCATTTGAAACTGAGTAGTCTTTCATATAGCTATGGATGAACGAACGGTAACATCCTTGCTTCTTGTAGTGACTTTCTGTGCCTGCTTCCAGGCTTCAGTTGCACAATGGACCAGGCAGCTTTCAGCCTATGAGATCGCATCATTCCAAAACCCAGATCCCGACCACAACACAAAACTCAACCATGTCCTTTTCCACGGTCCCTCTGATGTATACGTCGGAGCGGTGAATTCCATCTACCGGCTGGATGAGAACTTTGTAGTGCAGAGTAACGCCAGCACAGCTCTGGACTGTGAAGACCCAGATGACTGCGCTAACGAAAACAAGATCCTCTTTGTTGAACCACTCCGAGATAGACTGATTACTTGTTGGAGTGACAATGGAGGCAGATGTCAACAGAGAAGTCGAGATGAACTGACTGTTGCAGGCACCGAAAATAGTGTCGTGGGTGTATCACCTGGCAGAGGTAAGACCACTGTTGGTCTGTTAGCGCCTGGCCCAGGGAGAAGAGACTGGCTCTATGTAGCATCCACCTACACAAGGGATAGTAACACAGATGTCCCAGCAGTTGCACGACGACGTTTGGGTCTAGAGGTTCCTGATGGAAGACTGTTTTTTTCAGGAGAAGACGTGCAAATCAATTTTAATTCAGATTACAAAAGCAGGGCTTTTGACATTAACTACGTGTATGGATTTTCTACCAATGGCTTCACCTACTTTGTCACTGCTCAGCAAAAAACAACCAGCTTTACTCCAATATTTGTTTCCAAAGTGGTTCGTGTTTGTCAAAACAGTAACACATTTGAATCATACACTGAGATCGTCCTACGCTGTGGTCAAGAATCCCAATCCTATAACCTTGCCCAAGCTGCTTACTTCGGACAAGCAGGACCTGACTTGGCGGAATCTCTTGGAATCCAGGAGGCATCTCCGATGCTGTTTGCAGTTTTTGCAACCAACGTTGGAGCAAGTGACACCCCCAGTGATAGCTCTGCACTGTGTGCTTTCAGAATGGATGAGATTGAAGAGGCATTTGCAACAGGCATACGAAAGTGCATTCAAAATGGAGTTGAGTATAAAGTGGGATATCTCGACAGAAGTAAATGCAACTCCATCGTAAGTTCCTTTCTTGTATTCAGTTTCTAGAATTTGTACCTAGATCCGCAGATATGAACAATCATGTTTATTAGGTTGGATGGCCTGGTCTGTTATCTTTAGCTGTGTAAACTTGTGTAGTGTGTGCTGGTCTGAAGGACTAGTAGCCTAGTATCCTCTTGAGGATGCGCAGTTATGGGTAGCTACAGGAATTGGGTACCCGATTTATTAAAACATGGGTACACAGGTAAAGAAACCTATCCCCCCCAGAATTTTAATCGCGAAGGTGCTGTACAGATTGTTCAAAAATGTCCGCTTGATATTACTACCACATCGGTGCATCAATACAGCAATAAGTGTGTACAGTGAGCTCAATGTAGCTTTATGTTGTAAATCGCATTTTTGCAAGCATCATAATCGTGAATCTGTTTTGTGAATCCACGTACAAATGTAGCCTGGTTTTCATTTTCAAATCTCCACAAATGACATTCAAAACCTTTCTTTTTATTGTCTGTTCAGTTACGGGTACTCGATTCCATAATCTGGAACCTGTTCCTGACATCAGCAGTCGGTAATGGGATGCAATGCAGCCCCAGTCCTCATTGTACTTAATGTTTCTCACTGAGGACTCGCTCACTGTCACATATGAGCCAGGCAGTGCTGTTATGTAATAATGTCATTAACATTCATCCAATTGTGTACACACGTATGCATGCCTTGGCCGTCACCACGTTATGGGGAAGTTTTTTATTGTTAGGCAAATTAGGACCAAGTTATGGGGACTTCCAAACAGCATTTTCAGTCTCCGATGCTGTTTGCAGTTTTTGCAACCAACGTTGGAGCAAGTGACACCCCCAGTGATAGCTCTGCACTGTGTGCTTTCAGAATGGATGAGATTGAAGAGGCATTTGAAACAGGCATACGAAAGTGCATTCAGACTAACGGAGTCGAGTATAAAGTGGGATATTTTCATGAAAGTAAATGCAACACACTCGTAAGTTCCTTTATTCCATTCACTTTCTAGAATTCGTACCTAGACCACAGATATGAACAAATCATATAGGTTGGACCCTGGTCTGTTATCTGTAGTTGTGTACATGGAGTATTTGCTGGTCCCAGAGAACTAGCCTAGAACTAGCCTAACATGTTGTACCCCCTCCAACCCATAACCATAACAACATGCGATAGGTCAAAATAATGATTGAAGGTGTTTGTTCTCTTGCAGCCAACATTTACCGATTCGCAACTGCAAACAGTACTGTGTGATGTTCGTCAAAACATATACCGGAATGCTAATAACCCTGACGGAGTAACCGCTACGCCGTTGTTTCGGGTGGAGGATGCACGAATGTCGTCAATTATAACCAGCACGGAAACGAACCACACCGTCGCTTTCATTGGTACTTCGCAGGGTTCCTTAATTAAGGTGAGGTGGCAACATTTTCCACAAATTGTGCTTCAGAATCCATTTTATTTCGAAATTGTTACATCCTCTCTATAAAAAATAAGGCTCATAGTTAAAAAGGACAAACAAGCATCTACTATTTACCAAGACCTAAAACATTTACAATTCTAAGCACTTGAAAAGTTATGAATAAGACGCAAACAGATCAAGGAACAAAGTTTGTCAGACTTAGATAATAACAGTGTGAATTTGAAAAAAAATGTTATGACATCAGTTTGCTGCAAGTATCACATAATCACATAAAAGTGCATACACAAGTGTAATATGATATGCATGTTGCGTTGATAGGGTTAAAAAAAGGAGGAACTAAAATGTAAAATAAGGTTTTTCAATACAAGGTTTAATTCTTGCAGGTGATAAAACTTGATAAATTGAGAAAGTTTCGATTTCAATCATTTCAGGTGCACATTGAAAACGGGACTCACGCGAGGCTTTACGAGACAATCAAAGTAGGAGACAGCGCCGTACAGACTGACATAAGTCTGGATGAGACCAAGCAGCAGTTACGTCTACTGACTGAACAACAGGTAAGTTTGTGTAAATTTGTGATAAACCATCCCTCTTTTGGACATCAACAAAATCCAGATGACTCTGAACTAAAATAGAAAATAGAGGGTATCTTTTCGAATGTTTGAAGTACTCTGTAATTCGGTTTTGTAGATTCAGTTGGCCCAATCCACTTAGGTTTTACTGGCCCACACAAGAGAAGGTCTTTGGAGCCCCGATTTATTGACTGTTTTAAACAGTAGATATTTTTAAGCATTCCAATATTTTGTATAAGACTTTGCTCACTGATGATTATGTTTAAAATTTGCTTATGTTTAAAATTCGATTATGGTTAAAAATTTGAATTATTGGTAGTTCCAGCCCACTTGTAATTGAAAAGAAACTCTTGCCTGTCTCAGAAAACAATATTTTTGAAAGAAAAAATAGAGTATAAAGTCTAGTACATGTACATGTACATGTATTTTTAGACCTTTTTTTTACAGCAGGAAAAATATGTTAAATAGACGTTCCAACTCGAAGAGCAAATAACAATAATTTGATATGTCAATTCCATTGTAGAGCTTTTAATGTCATAACAGCATACAAGTTTGCTATGGCGTATCAGCATAACAGGGACCAATTTTATGGCTATAATTGTCAGCAAAAAATGTCTGCTTACTGTAGAAAACAATTTCGTGCTTACAGTTACACATGGCAAATATCACGGACAAGCGAGGAATGTTGGCTTGTGCGCATGCGTACATCCTATTTCTCAGGAAGTTTTGTGCTTACCGAAGTGGCACAGGTTTCGTTTCCTAGCGCTGCTGGCACAGAGTGGTGATTGTTTAGTGCTAAATTCTGTTATTAGCGGAGCAATGAAATGTGTCCAATAAAGTTATTATTATTATTATTATTATTACTATTTATTCGGCCAAAACATTCCAAATACAAACATGCACATGTACATACAAGGTAAGATGAAAGATAAATTGTGTAACAAATACCAATCAAAAAGAATAGATGTGTATAGGTACAGTAGGTAAGAATGAGATGGGAAGAAATGGGGGTGGGGATGAGGAATGTATAGAAGGGGAGCGGATTGGGGAAGAGTGGAAGTGGGAGGGAGTTCAACAAGCAGAGTAAAGACAATCCAATCTAAGATGGCCAGGATGAACAAAAGTGAAAACACTGTGACTCAAAAGCCTGTTCATCCAATCCTAGGTTGGTAACATGAAATAACTTTAAAATATAACTATTAAATACAAGTAATATGAGAAGTTAAATATAAATCTGGAAATTAAAAATGCTATAATAATGGAGGGTAATATATATGAATAAATAAATGGGTAAATAAATATCTGCTAAATATGTAAATGAATTTAAATGAAAATAAAAAAGTAGCATAAATAAAATAATTCAGTAAGAAACACAATAAGTGATAAACAAGTAAGCAATGAAACATACAAACGAGCTAAAAAAGCATCAAAACAAAGACAAGAACAATCAGATAAAACCATACAGAAAAAACATAACAGATACCGTACACATGCAAACAGACAAGCAAAATTACAATTATACGAACAGTCTAATACATGTACAAACGTAACACAAAAAAAACATATTAACAAAAAACAAACAAACGACAAACAGCCCAACACCCCAACAAACAAACAAACAAACAAACAAACAAACAAACAAACAAACAAACAAACAAACAAACCAAAAGTTAATTAGAGAACTCTATACGAAAAAAAATTAATGATTCATGAAGGAAAGAAAACTGACTGGTATAATTTGAAATGAATATTAGTTGAGCAAAGAAATCTGACCGAACCAGGACCCGAACCCGAGACCCCTGCACTACCGTTCCAGCGCTGGAACAGCAATACAGAGGTCCCGGGCCCGAATCCCGACTCGGCCAAACCTCCCCGCTCAACTAATATCCAGAACACAATTTAGATCAAAAGCAACAAATAGACAAAACATTACAGGCATTTAACCATCAATAAAATGAGCACATAATTCACGATTAAAACACTGAAATGAATCAAGTATCAATGAGTCCTCAACGTGGAGTTCAGGAGATACAGTGTTTTTAACGAGTAAATATTCAGGAAATGTTGGAAAATACGTGTTGTTTGTGAACGTTCATTTGAACAAGGAAGCTTGGATGTAAAAAAATACAGAATCAGTTACCACTAATACCAGGCTAAATAAACATGTATTCGTTAGTTCCTTGAAAGCTGATATTTCCATTTTTTTATAGGCCTACTCACGGAAAAGTAGTTGATGACTGAAGCACATGTATACTCCACTTTTTCTCCAGCTTACTATCTGTGCATAAAGATCCAAAAAACTTATCTTTACTTCAAAATTTGCTCAAACGCAATTTCAGCAAATCAGTTTTTGCTGGATGAATTGATTAAAGGGAATATACATCATTTGCTTTTGCTGTAATTTTCAGAAATGGATGGAATTGGGGGGGGGGGGTTGGAAATATATAGCAAATATAGTTACACTGACTTTTTTGAGGTTTTGGGTTCAAAAATGCTATAAAAACCCAAGAAAAACAATCATTTTCCTGTAGTCTGGTTCCCTGACTCCATATAATAATAATAATAATAATAATAATAATAATAAACAGTTCTTATATAGCGCATAATACAATTAAGTCTCTATGCGCTTGTGCGAGTGAACAGGTGAGTTTTAACAAGTTGTTTGAATTGATCCAAGGTGGGACAGGTTTTGATATGGTTAGGAATTAAGATCATTCCATAGTTTGGGAGCAGTGAATTGAAAGGCACGTTGACCGTATGATTTGGTGGTAACTAGATAAGGAGTGAGAAGATCTTTGGAACTAGAGCGGAGGGTTCTTGGTAGTTGATATTTGTTGATTAATTCTTGGAGGTAAATTGGGGCTAATATAAGAAGAAACAGAGCAGTTTACATACATTGGGGAATTGTAAGGTCAGGGAACCAGTCTAGCTGGCTTGTACCCGTTCATAGGTGTGTAATCGATTGCAAACAAGTGCGATGGTCAATTGGGGCCAGTATTTGAAAAAAACCCAGTTTTTTTCCAACGCTGGTCGGCCGACCAGCGTTGGAAATTGATACAAAAATTACAGGATGCTTTACACTGTCATTCACTAACAGTCCAGCAAGGTATTTCAAAATGATTTGGTAGTTTTTTTTTTTGATGTTTGCAAATGTTGTAATTTCCCTTTAAACAATGGCAATTTCAGGTTGAAATTCAGTGGTGTAACTTTAGGCATGTATTATCAGTGTGGTAACTGCATTACTTGTAATGCTATTGGCAGACCGTACATTTCCGGCAGGAAATGCAAGAGGATGCAAGAGGCACATAGAGCCACTTTCGAAGTCTCATTCCATGGAGACACATTATAAATTTAAAATAAATATTCTATGATGTGTTTCCTGTCACTATGAAATGCTGGAAGCATCAAAGAGATTTTTCCACTAAAAATGTGCCATTGTTTTCTTTGTCTAAAATATATAGTAATTCTTTAAATTTTATATACATGATAAGGGTACATGATAAATTCATCACAATTGGTTGGAATTTGTTATACATAATGCACTTTATTTCCTGTAGGCATACATTTCATTCGGAAAGGAGGGTTTAATTGAATAACTTGCAAATTAAGTATTTTTATATTTTCCCTTTTCGTTTATGGTTTATAAGATGTGTTTTATTACTAATAATTAAATGATTATCGTAGTTGGATTGTGCTGTCTATATTATGTGGCCAAGTTATTTTTCAGTATCATTTTTCTTGAATATGAAAATAGAAATTTTTGAACGCTATCACAAAATTGCATTCTTTTCACACAACTATTCTCTTCAATTTAACATTGCAAAAAGTCCTCCATTTGATGTGAATGACTTTGAGTTTTTGGGTGATCGGGCGCATCCCGATCACCGTTGTGGAATTGTTCGAATAAATCTTCTTTTTTTTTCCTGGACAATAATTCGGTTATCTTCTCAACGGTTTATGGTATAAACTTGTAATTCTCAACCGGCATCATCCCTGATCTAACAGTGTGCATATTATTCTGATGTCATGATGGCGTCATCAGGTATCAAATTACAACCGATTTTGGTTGAAACAGGGACTAACTTCTGTCACTTATACCTCTGGAACAATATTCAATGATGTTTGTATTTTTTAATCAGATAGATAATTAAGTAAAAAACTTTTTTGTATACGGTTTACGAGATGATGAAAAAAACTGGTACGAACCCTGGTCCGAAGATGTAAAAAAGTGACGTCATCATGACGTCATCAGTTATCAAATTACAAGTGATTTAAGATACACATTTAAAAATTACTTTGAACTGTAACATTTCACATGAATGTAGTACCATTCTCATTTTGTTGTGATCAGTTAGATATTGCCTAGGACAATAGTTTGGGTTCCCGAGCACAAAACCGTTTGACCTTTACTTCCGGCGTCACCGGAAGTGCAATACCAATTGAATGTGAAAACGGAAGCATTTTACTACAATCCAACTAATTATGGAAAGGTTTAGTGAGGTATGGCAAGTACAAAAAAGGCATGATGACATAAAAAGTGTATACTGATAATTATCAAAACCCAAGAGACGCATTTTCCCTTTAGTTCAGTCGGAAAAGGGGGGTATCGTGCACCCTCGGAAATCAATTTCTAATCAACGTGTCTAGGTCAGAAAAAATGCGTAGAAAACGATTTGCTATGTTAAAAAATTCAAAAAATGTCCCACGTATTGTTTTTATGCAAATTAGTGCCGCCATTACCGAAAAATCTATTTTTAATTATATCTCAGCCAATATTGCTGATAACTGAACGAACTAGATGTCTAAACCCATGTTTTCAAGGTCAGAGATCACAATAAAACTATTCTGGAAGTGACCACATGTGTCTGTGGCATAGGAATATGCAAATTAGTGTCGCAAATACCGGAAAGTCATGTTTTTGGCTCATCTCGGCCAATATAGCACATAACTACACCAGTAAAGTGTCTAAACCCATGTTTTGAGGGTCAGGTATCATTAAAAGACCATTCACGAAGTAACTATGTGTGTCTTTGGCATGAAAATATGTAAATTATAAAGTGTCGCTTTATCAGATATTTGATTTTTAGCCAATATCTCGGCCAATATTTCACATAACAACACAAGTAAGGTGTCTAAACCCATGTTTTGAGGGTCAGGTATCATTAGAAGACCATTCACGAAGTAACTATGCGTGTCCTTGGCAGGTAAATATGTAAATTCAAAAGTGTCGATTTATCGGAAATTTGATTTTTAGCCAATATCTCGGCCAATATTGCAGCTAATGTTGACAGAAGGGTTTTTGATAAGCAATAATGATCAAAGTTTATGTTAAGCCATCATATTTAAAATAAACTGTACTATTGGCTGAAATTGAATATAATATTGGCTAAAAATCAATTTTTTGATAAACCGGCAAATTAGAATTTACATATTTTCATGCCAAAGACACACATAGTTACTTCGTAAATGGTCTTCTAATGATACCTGACCCTCAAAACATGGGTTTAGACACCTTACTTGTGTAGTTATGTGCAATATTGGCCGAGATATTGGCTAAAAATCAAATATCTGATAAACCGACACTTAATATTTTACATATTTTCATGCCAAAGACACACATGGTTACTTCGTGAATGGTCTTCTAATGATACTTGACCATCAAAACATGGGTTTAGACACCTTACTGGTGTAGTCATGTGCTATATTGGCCGAGATATGCCAAAAACATGAGGTTCCGGTATTAGCGGCACTAATTTGCATATTCCTATGCCACAGACACATGTGGTAACTTTCAAACTAGTTTTATTGTGATCTCTGACCTTGAAAACATGGGTTTAGACACCTAGTTCGTTCAGTTATCTGCAATATTGGCTGAGATATAATTAAAAATAGATTTTTCGGTAATGGCGGCACTAATTTGCATAAAAACAATACGTGGGACATTTTTTGAATTTTTTAACATAGCAAATCGTTTTCTACGCATTTTTTCTGACCTAGACACGTTGATTAGAAATTGATTTCCGAGGGTGCACGATACCCCCCTTTTCCGACTAAACTACTTCAATTTAAAACAAATAGATCTACCAGAAAAGGATGAATTTGATTGTTGTTTTCTGTTCTAACAATTTGTTTTTTCAATTGATCGTTTCTCAACAGCTTTTGAGATTGCGAGTTGAAAACTGCAGTCAGTACACAAGCTGTGAGTCTTGCATCGGTGGCAGCTCCGGGCAGGATGGCGACCCGTACTGTGGATGGTGCACACTACAAAACAAGTAAGATATGGGGCGGTGAACAGTGCTTTATTTCATTTCAAAAAACCTTTAATTTTTTTTCGTTACTTAATAAAAAATAGTGAGAAAAGGCAAGAGCTGGTCTCAGAACATGCCAAATAGTCTTCAGTAGATTTCAAGGTTATTCACTGGAAGTTTTTTTCCTTGCATGTGGTTTAGGCCATGTATTAGTACTACGGGGTAACTCTGTATGAAAGCACTGCCCGGCGACAGTCCGTTAGTTAAGTGTGTGAGTGAGGTAGGTACCGGTGCAAAGAGGACGCGAAACTTACCTTCTGGGACTAGCAATCATAAAGGCGTTATGAAGGTCATGCAAATAAATGGCATAACCCCCAAAATACTGTTTTGAGGTTTGCCATTGGAAAAGACGGACAAAAAGTACTATGTACGAGAACAGATGATTGTTAATTTCAAGAACCTGCATTGTTTAAGATATTACACCCTAGAATGCGCCCAATTGGGTCACAAACGCGTTTTAAACGAAAGATGTTAATCAGAAAGAACATTTAAATGTAGGATATAATTGTCCATAAAACCGTCCTTTAAAAATTGGGCGTTTTTGTTATTCATGTGACCATGCGTGAACGAATTTCGGGGTCAACATTTTTGATCTCAAATTTTGGTCATTTATTATTTATCGAGCTGTTGATAGTTATGAATCCTGCCGCACAGTGCATCGCATTCTGTGGACGTTAAAAACACACACAGTTTATCGTAAATTGAACGGGACACGGCTGGAAATACGTATACGTATGCCACAAAAAATGTCCTCCGCGTGTGATGCAAAAAAAAAATTCTGGAAAATCCCATAAGTTTCCCAGAGTTTTGAGATTCCGGTTTTCAGAATTAAACAAGTTTTTTTTTAGGCACCAACCATTTTTGCTCCATGACCATGCCGGTCTCGATACCAAGGACATTTCAAGCAGGATGTTTGTGTTTGACCCGGCCATCTGGTTGGGTTTCCTCAACTTGCCTGAATTAGAGGAAGTTGCAAACAAAATAGGCCATTATCTTTGCACCTACACAAATATGAATTGCATTGTCAATTGATGTTAGAATCTGCTTGTTTCCAGCATACAGAGTGTTTTAATATTCCCGATTTGACACATGAGTGGGGGTGGGGAGTTTTACCAGCCAGAAAATTGTAGATCTGTAACCCTAACTTTCCGAACTCCATTGAGATCTTTCAAACTCTACAAACACGACAGGGCTAGCGTATAAAGCTGGTCCCAGAGAACATATAATTTTATTCAATGGATACAGAACGGCAATTTACTGGAAGTTTTTTTCATCTGGTCTACACAATGGGCCAGAGTTAACCCAGTCATTGGTGATATGGGGTAATCCTATATGATAGCACTACCCAGCTGTCCAGCTGGAACCGGCACTGCAAAGCAATATGTCATCTGCCCCACAATTGGTCAAATTCCATTGAACTGCCAAGCAAAGAAGTTTATTATCATAAAGACAAGTTACCATCTAAACTATAATGCAGCTTTATACGTGTGCAATGTTTATTACTTGTTGACATAGGGGCCAAAGTCACACAGCATATCACTATTAAACATTGTATATTGAAAATGGGGTCCATTTTTAAAGGACACCATCGTTTATTATAAGGGCGTTTTACTGCTTTTGTTCACGTGTATTATGACATTATGGTCCTTAAAATTATTACTTCTACACAATGTATTGCTAATCACCCCCTCCTTAATTAACCAAGTGGTTCGTCATTGAACGAGATCGTTATGACTCCATTGCGGATACTTTAATTCAGATTACGTAGGTCATACATCAACATAATTTATTACACCATTAAGGCGTGCCGAGGATACCGTGAGAAGGGTCTAATAAAAATCAAACCAATAACAGCATTGTAATAAGGGAATAACAGTGTGAGGAGCCGGTCTTCACTGCGTGATAATGACCGGGTTTGGGGGTAACCGCTGTTAATGGACCGAGACAAACCCATTAATAAATACCTTTTTAACGAAATAAACAGTTAAAATGCTCCAATTTTGTGACTTTCTTTCGGCGATATTTCCAGACTTTTTTGTGTTCATGTTCATGGGCCATATTTTAACTTATGCGTGGTATGCGTCTCTTCGATAAGCGTTGTTATATAGTCGTGTTCCCTAACGTGGCGCACTTCGAAGCTACCCGACTTTCCTCGTGTAGTGTTGCCAAACCTCTTTGTTGACAAACCTCAAATTTATGCAGTAAAATACTAGTACTTTTACCTTTGTAATGCTTGCTATTTAACCTCTGTGAACAATTTCGGTTTCATAAAATTTAATCCGAAATTCAAAAACGGTGGCGTCCGGAAATTGGGCACAAATTGGCGGAGTGTTCCCTAACGTGGCGCACTTGAATAAATCTTGGAAAATTCCCAGTTAACATTTACGAATTTCTGTAAACTTGATAAATTCTGATAAATAATTATTATCTCTACTTACATGTACATACCCAGCCAGATGTTTGTCAGAAAATTATTTTCTTATTTTTCGGGGCATTTTCAAAGGGTTCACTTTGCACTTGAAAATAAAATCGGAAAATCACGCCAAAATAAATATTTCTTCTAACTTTGTTACGGATAAATAAACTCGCGATTTATGAACAGGAGTGTTTAGAACTTGATGAAATTTCCCTTTCTGTGAAATTTCACTCTGTTTAAGACCACTTAGAGTCTGGGTGCTGATAATTACCCTCGCCTCCGGCTCCGGCCCGGGTAATTATCAGCACCCAGACTCTAAGTGGTCTTAAACAGAGTGATAAAAACCTCCGAAGCACACATTTATTCCCTTAGTAATGCTCATTGAAATGGTGTGTCATTGTAATTCGTCACCGTTTTCACGAAGAGCCACATGTCAATGTGATTTTTTTCAATATTCGCATCAAAACAATGTACTTAACCATTTCGACATGTTTCTGTAAGCAAAACATCATTAATTTCTAAGTTACATTAATGTTTCAAGGGGCAGAAATCTCGATAAATGCATTTTGCGTTTTCACGAAGAGCCACATACATTTTGGCCCTTTGAGTGTGTACAAAACCAATTGCACGGAAATACGTAAAAGTAGGTCAAATGAGATTTGCGTTTTCACGAAGAGCCACATATCTTTGTTACATTTTCAGCCGCGCGCGCGTACTCACGCGCGCCTATGGAAATACACGTTGAACAGAAAGGGCCAATATGTCGGAAACCTGAATTTGCGTTTTCACGAAGAGCCACATATCTTTACTTACTAATTTTCACTAATTAACTGCTGTATTAAGTCTTATAACCGGGTTCATGTAATACTTCAGCTCTCGTAGAATCGTGTGATGGTTTTCTTGCTGCACAAATATGTTGCGAAGTAGTATTTCTTGCAGTTTTAAAATATGAGAAACTTCCTTTGCGATTATCTCGAAAACACTTTTCTTCAAAATCAACATAATATATATAGTATGTGGCTGTTCGTGAAAACGGTGACGGTATAACCCCAACAGACAAACGGGAAAGAAACAGGAAGATTATGCTGGTCTGGGTCATGAGTGTCACATCCCGTCACGCGTACACTGGCTTGATTATATTGACACATTGCACTAAAACTCTGGTTTTAATTTTCTAAATTTCTGTGATTGGAAAATTGAAGCACTTTTTAAGGTCCTTGACAATTTCTAGCTTTGCGTCTGCCCCTCTTGATTTCCCAGATAAATACCCTTCCAAGATGTTTCTGCAATTCTTGCACATGTCTTCAGATGTTAAACATTTTCCCAAGCCACCCAATCAGTAAGCCCCGGCACCCCATACCAACCCCGCCTGGTATGGTTTTATGGATAGTAATGACAAAAACAAACAAACAATTCAACACGATGTAAAATATTGTAATACATCAAGTACAGGGGCTAATAGCTGTGAGGGTATAATAATAATAATAATAGTGGATATTTATAAAGGGCACGTATCCACCAGGACTGGTGCTCAAGGCGCTACATCATTATTACCCCTGCTCATTGGGCACATGAAACATTCCAAATACCATCTCAGCTCCCTGGGGAGTATACAGTTCGATGCAGCCTGTTAGGCACAAGGAAGCTAATTCAATCACAATAACCATCTCTGCCCTCACAGGTACCCATTTACTCCTGGGTGGAGGGAAGCAATGAGTGACAAAGTGCCTTGCCCAAGGGCACACGCACCATGACCCCGCCAGGGGTAATTAATGTTGTTGTGATGAAAGCCTTAATTCTTTTCTCAAGAAGAACTTATTTCCTCTCACAGATGCACAGTGCACAGGGAGTGTCCGATGGCCGATATCTCAACCCGCTGGCTTCCATACAATGCTATTCAGTGTGTTGATATCAGTGACATTGAGCCTGCTAACTTGCCCATCACAGACCCCCAGCAAATGGTAAGGTATATTCATATACATGTATCTTAGACATTTGTATTAATATACATGTAAATCGTTTAAAATGACTTTCAAGTATTTTACATTTGTGGGGTTAGGTAGTTTGTTATCCGTAATCACCCTTGAAAACTGACTCCCTCGGGAGTTTATGCAGGAATAAAATATACCTATCAGGTGTTACACGGAAAAAACTGGACCCCACATTTATGGAATTACCCATTACAGTAATATATTATGAAGTTGTTTAAGAAGCTATGGCGCGAAGTAGGATAGCCTTATTAATAACAGTTACAAGTTATTGAATTTATATTGCGCTCTCTCCAGGACCAGTCTGTTTGAGGGCGCATTACATAAAAATTCCTAATAAAAAAAAAATATACAAATATACATATTAGCATAAATCTAAATAAAAAAGGCCAAAAGCCATTAAATTTATATCACCATTCCAGAATAAGAGTAATACATGTTTGCAAAAAGGTTCACAGGGACACAAACAATAACTCAAACAGATGAGGTATAAACAGCACATTACACGTCAGGAAACGCTTTCATGAAAAGGACAGTTTTGAGTTTATTTTTTAACAGACTTTGTGAGTGAAAATCACGTAAATTATTCCATAAATGTACAGCTGAAATTAAAGTATAGTTTCCAAATGTTGACAACGTTTTGCCCTTTGGACATTTCAATAAATTTTTATCTATAGACCTGGGGCTTTTGCCAGACAATCACAATTTTAAGTCAACGCAAGTCAATCACAAGTCAACAGAAGTCATCATGAATCATCAGAAGTCTCAAGCGACCGAACAAACAGTTGTCATTGTTCATCCGATGTTACTTATGACCAGACAATGAGTTTACTTGTAACTGACTTGTGATTGAGTGTTTGACTCAACTTTTCTTAAAGATCACACTGACGATTGATCAACTTCCTGATCTTGAGGCTGGCGAGTCTTACAGCTGTCAGTTCAACAACCTGCCTCTATCTCCAGGAGAAACCACTGGCAACATCATAAGGTGTATGACTCCACTTCCGAGCACAGTTCCACTCATTCGGCAAATGGGTAACCGCTTATTTTCTTGTTGAAATACTTGATTGGTTTCCTGCTAGAATTATGTTGGATGAACAGACTTCGGAAAAAAAATAAATAATAGTTTTTCACTTTCTCTGTTAAAGTAGAAGTGAACAGAAGCCTTAGAAACCTCCTGGAATACGTGCAGTGAATCTCATAAACCTCGTGGCGCACAAAACCTCACAGTCCCAACAGTGCAACGTGCAGCAGAAGTTTTATAGGACATTTACTAAACCCAGAAACGTACCTCACGACACATTGAGCCTAGAACCTAATTGTATAATATCCTTGAAATAAAAACCTCGCGGTAGAGTTATTGACATGCAAAACTCTCATACCACAATATGCTGCAGAGACCTCATTGAGCGGAAGCCTCACAAACCTGAAAGCAAACAAAAACCTCATGAACCTCATAGTCTTTACCTTGCCTATTATCTTTTTTAATGTCTTCTCAATTGACCTTGAATCCAATGTCGTGCTATTTTTGTTCCTGCAGAGGACCATGTGACACTGGAGCTGAGCGTTTTTTCGTCAGTGTCTGACATGAAGTTTATAAGTTCAACTTTCAGCTTTTACGATTGCACCGGACACACCTCGTAAGTAAGGTTACATCAGTTTTCAGTCTTCAGCGGTTGACTTCCTATAGTAGCTCTCTGAGCTAAACTGGAAGGGTGACTGTGACCTCACGGTCGGTGCGGTGCTAACAAATATGGTGCTGTACGTCAAAACTATAAGTGTGAGTTGAAAAAGAAATAATGCAGACTGGCTTAGAGAGTCCTCTGGCTGGCTGGCGACATAGCACTGATGGTGTTTAGTGCTATGGGCTTGCAGGCACGGATGGAGGGTGCACACACGGTTGCTTCTGGAAGTCTGTTCCATATCCTGATGGTTCTTGGATAGAAAGTGTAGGCATAGGCATCGACATTGGAGCTTGGTTGTTGGTAGCATAGGGAATGGTTACGACGAGTGGAGGATGATATGTACTGGAAGTGTGGTGGAAAGGTGATGTTGACTAGTTGGTGCTGGATTTTGTAAAACGTAACTGACTGGTTGAGGAGACGTCTGGTTTGGAGGCTGTCCCATTCAAAGTTTTGTATCATTGGTGTGACAGAGGTGGTCCTACGGAAGTCTTGGAATACAAAGCGGGCGCCCTGGCGCTGGATGTTTTCAAGGCGCTGCACGTCTTTGTTGATATGAGGGTTCCAGGCTTCGCTTCCGTACTCCAATGGGCTCCCCCAAAAGACTTAATACTAATAATAATAACAATAATAATAATAAAAGCCAGAGAGTGAAGATGAATGTTTCAGTCTTGTTGTTGTTGTCTACTCATTCCTTTTCCCTGTACAGATTCACTAAGCGCTAATAAAAAAGAAAGAAAATAATAAAACTACTTTTTAATTTAACATTAGTATTTTATTTTTGCAGTTGTACCGCATGTGTCTCTATTCCATGGAACTGCGATTGGTGTATTTATGACAACATCTGCACCCACTTGAGCGCTGAGTGTACGGAGGGGGACTACATCATTACGGGAAACAACGTTAGTCAAACATTCGTGTCTAATGCACTCATATTCCAATATTTTCGTAATGGCAATTTCATTCCACACGTTACTCGCGTAACGTTAAAATGGGATTTTCCATCAGTAATTCCATAACGTCAAAGTATTTAAGGTGGATTTTTTTCTCAGAATATCCCTTGAAGTTATGTAACTATTAAATACAAACAAGATGCCACCAAAATTTTTTTTCCGTCGGTTTGGCAAGAACTTTATGTTATCGGTAACTCGCTTTACCAAAAATGAAATCTCTAGAGGGATATACGGTACATTTGTATATAGGTAACTCGTGTTACGGTAACTTGCGTAACAGTTTGTCCGCCCATCTTGAGTATAAGTTATATGAGAAACTAATTATCCAACCAAAAGCCTCTTCGGGCATAGAATATGAACTTTCTCTCCCTGCCGATTATTTAGTAAATTGTTTTGTTTTCCACATTCTCATCCCTTTATGTTGGCTTTTAGTTCCCTTTTTTGAGGAAATATGTCTTATCATTAATTTGAGAAAATATATCTTGAAGTTAATCACCTATGTGCGAATTTTCACAACTTATGTTCTGTTTTAGTTTTGTTGCTTGTTATGAATTTATTCTTACAGAATCCAGACACGTCTTCAGTGCGAGGCCCGGATTTCTGCCCGCAGTTGCAACCACAGACACAGGAAGTGCTTGTACCAGTGGGCATTCCTATAGAAATCCAGGTGCCTGCCTCCAACTTGCCAAACGCAACCCAGGTGAAACACAATTTGCTGGTTTATGGTTAAAGACTAGTGCCAAATTGACATTCCAAAGTCGCCGAATAAAATATTGGGATCCACTTAGACTGGTATTGTACTCAAGTCACCAAATATCGAGTCCGAGTCCGAGTCACGTCTTCCGAGTTCGAGTGTTGATTCATGCAGGCCAAGTCCGAGTCCGGGTCACGATCGAGTCACCTTTAAGTACTTGAAGTACTACATTGTTTATATGTTTATTGGAAATCAATTTTGAGGCATGCCTACTGCCAAAACCTCACAGTGTAAATCTTTCAAATTTAAGTCAGATTTTTTCTCTAATTAACTGGAAATACATGTATATCATGTCAAATAAACAAACCATTGTATAAGCCATTGAAGTCGATTTATATACATGACCTGTATGCCTTGTCGCCCTTTATTTTCATAAATTAAGGGTTAATGTTCGCATGTGTACATGAGAACACCAGCTGGTCGCATCCGAGTTTACATGTCAACATGTTTACATGTGTACCAGTGGTGACCGAGTTGCTTCATACAACACTACACTTTCGAGTTACGGAAAATGGTACTCGAGTCGGCCTTGAATCCGAGTCCAAGTCACGAGTCATTCAACTGTGGAGCAACTCATATCAAACCAAAAGAGTTATGTACTATTTTCCATTGACTAGACTCTGAAGTCGTTCTGAATGACAAAATTAGTCAATTATCTTTGGTACAATGCTGGAACTGGTGCATCTCATTGCACTGATGCATTTTTTTCGTTTGCCTCATTTTAGGAAAAATCATATGCGGCTGCCACTCATGAACCCATTTTGAATTGTTATTGTCACCTTGCAGGTGACTGAGGATTACCAGTGTTTGTTGTTGGTGGAGGGTACCAGGCAAATTGTCTCAGCATCTGTGATACAGCCAGGCGTCATTCAGTGCCACAGCCAGATGGTGAGATTACATAGTATCTTCTTGCCTCATTTTTCTAAAAGGAAGATTGCATCCATTTAGGTGCTGCTAAGGTTACTTTAAATTCTGAGGGGGTGGCCAAGTTGTTATGGTTTGTGACTCATGATCAGAGGGTCAGGGTTTTAAATCCAGCTGCTGGTCATATATATGATGTGTCCTTGGGCAAGCCACTTAACCCCTCTTGCCTCTCTCCACCCAGGTGTATAAAATGGGTACTGGCATTATGGCCAGTTATGGTCCAGGGGGTATAGAAATATTCTCAGTCGTCAGTCTTGTCAAGTAAACCGGGGATAAGCGCTGGCCTGATGGGCCATATTGACATGTGACATACTTTACTTTACTTTCTTTATTTTACTTACCTTTGCTCCTCAAAAACTATAGAAGGTATTGTCACCTGTAACGCACGACTGCGTGTCTTGAGTGTTTTTGCTGTACTTTCTTGTCAGTACTCTTATGCAGCGAATGATCGAGAGATGGAAGTGCAGTTGAGCATAAGCTGGAACGTTGACAGACAGCTGGATGACAGTACCGGCTTCACGGGTAAGCGCACAAAATTGCTCCATGTGTTAATTACACGGCATGCATTTTATATGATCCAAAAGCGTGAATGGTGTGTCGGGGTAGTATTAAAATCTGGTTTAAAATCCCGATAGGGGCGTGGTCGACGAGAACGGCAAGGTCCACCCCTTGTTCCCCAATACCTATGTTCTTCAATACCTATATGTTCCCAAATCCTAAAGGTTAGGGTTAGGGTTAGGGTAATCGTTATGGGGAACATATGTATTGGAAAACATAGGTATTGCGGATTCACATAGGTATGCACGCCCATTATCAGCGACCGGTTTTAAACAAGACGTAATACCAGACTGTTGTTCGCAATCGTAAATATTTTTTTGAGTCAAAACTTTAAAAAAAGGGAGTAAAAAGGACAAATATCTGAGCTTTGTTCAAGAATTTAACGCTATATTGATATATATGTTCTATGAACAGAGCGTGTGATTGCCGGTCCCCCTTCTCCCCCTCGAAAAAATACATCCTCAAAAAAGCAAGTTTGATGGTTGTTTTTTCATTATAGCCCCTTATTTTCTTACCTTTATTTTTAGACACACTTTTACGAACAAACGGGGATAAATAGGAGACAACCCCCCAAATCATTTGACGTTTGATTGATAAGCTAAGCTGCTGGACCAGTGCGTTACCATTTCCTTTAAACGCTGTAGGGTTATGGGATCGTAAAAAAGTGTAACATGTTCCTGATCATGTAAGTGCCTAGTCTTGAACAGTATACGCAGAATGAACGATGGAAGAATGTACTTCAATTTACTCATGAAACCAATATTTTCGGAAATTTTGTTTTCTAATTCCTTTTATCTCGAATTTCCGATGTGGGATATCGCCTCAAACCGATGTGGGTCCACCCTCAAACCATGTTATATTTATATAACATGGTTTGAGGGTGGACATCGTTATAGCTCCCGGAGGTATTAAAAGTTGACAAACTAGTTCCAGAGGCGAAGCCGAGGGAACTAGTTTGTCATCTTCCGGATGCAAAATCCATCTCCCGGATGTAAAATTCCATAAAATTTTGTTTGTAGCCATTATATCAGTAAGAACTAACTGGAGAATATTGTGGACAATAAATAGGCCTCTTTTACTAGAAAAAAGTTGTCCACAATGCTATATAAAATCTGAGGAATATACTGTACAGCAAACGTACATTTCGGGAAAATACGGCAACTGAACTAAAAAAACCCTCATAATCAGCCTGTAGTGCGAATGTCACATACCTAATTTCGTGGGGTCTATATTGATGTATAGTATTCAAGTTGTTTTTGATATTTAAAAAAACCCATAAATGTACATTTTTACAAGTTAAAAGACAATCTGTTAGATTTTTAATTGCATACTGTCAAATATTTTGTGGACAATAAATAGAATATTGTGGACAATAAATAGGCCTCCTTTTCTAGAAAAAAGTTGTCCACAATGCTATATAAAATCTGAGGAATATACTGTACAGCAAACGTACATTTCGGGAAAATACGGCAACTGAACTAAAAAAACCCTCATAATCAGCCTGTAGTGCGAATGTCACATACCTAATTTCGTGGGGTCTATATTGATGTATAGTATTCAAGTTGTTTTTGATATTTAAAAAAACCCATAAATGTACATTTTTACAAGTTAAAAGACAATCTGTTAGATTTTTAATTGCATACTGTCAAATATTTTGCATTTATCTGTCATGTTATCCCAAACTGAACACGTGGTGTTTTAATATGAAAGTGGGTTAATATTCGAACGCCTCAAAATATTGTCACAATGACTGCGTCTCAAGGTTGACGTAAATTTCAGTGCAAGTATTTAGTGCGCAGGCATTGGCTCATATGCCATTCAAAATGTGATAACAAAAATGAGGTCTATAGACTTACTGAAGTCTCCTCTCCGTGCACCTTGTTCTTTACAGTGACACTCTACAAGTGTGATGTGGATCGACAGGACTGTAGTCGCTGTCTGTCCAACGAAACAGCGAGACCTGAGCTGGAGTGTCGATGGTGTGGTAGTCAGTGCGCATTCAGAGATGATGCTATGTGTAGCAGTGGAGCCCGCGACCCCAGTGACTCCTGCCCTGCACCTGCTCTACAGAAGGTTACATTCAATTCTATCAATTGTTTTCTATGTTTAACCATCAAACAATGTGTTTAATAGCTCCATGGTTTAATTGTACTACCGCAAACCACCCTGCCTGTTACTCCCTGTACTTCGCCGCAGACTACCTCACCGGTTACTCCCTGTACCGCCCCAACTCGTCTCGCCTGTTACTCCCTGTACCGACCCAATCCGCCCTGCCTATACATAGTATAGATGCTAGTAGGTTAAATTTGGATCTGATTTGATACAATGACAACAAACTGATATGGAGATGTGCATCAAGGAGATGAAAATTTTATATCTGTAGATGTAAATCAAGTAGTTGAAAAGGTTTACCTTTCGAGTAAGATTTGTTGACAACATTTGTCATACATATATTTGATTTTTGAATTTCACAGGTTGAGCCTGCAACGGGACCAATAGAAGGCAACACCGTCATCGAAATTACAGGAACCAACATTGGCCGAAGATTTGAAGACGTCCGCAGCGTGATGATCGGTCAACAGTCATGTGATCTGACTGGGTTAGGTGACCAGTACATCACTGGACGAAGGTATCTGATTGGTTTGAATTTGTACCTGACAAAAATGAGCTGTTACATGTTTAAACCACAGTCATTTGAACCACAGTGATTTGCTAGTGACCGGCGCATTTAAATGGTCTTCCAGATACTGTGCGCCTTATAAATTCTCTGTAGTTCATTAAATACATGTACATTAACTTGAGTAGTTCTTTATCAAATGGTCATCGCTGGCAACGTTTGCGTTGTTTGCATACAATTAATGGAACGTAACCCTGACTTAATCCAAATCCGTTCATTACAGTGTACGTTGTAGGACTACAGCAATGAGCCTAGGTGATTCTCAACCTATCACTGTCTCCGTCGCCCCTGTTGCGCCTCCAGACAGCACGGACTTGACAAGCACAGGGGACGTTATGTTCACTTACACGGTAAGTTTGGATAAATAACCCGTATAACTTCCTGTACCGTCCCAAACTGCCCGAGCCTCTATGGTTGTATGGATTCATCAATGCATAATATTATGAAGTGCAGTGTAGTACAGTTCCTAGAGGGTGAAATGATAAATAATTTAAAAATCTATTGCCAGCTTTTCCCAAACGTTTAAGCAAAACCATACTTTAAAGTTGGAACAAAGCGTATATGGTCCTATCTAACTTTAAAAGTCTTGAAATTTACTCCGGACCAAGATCAACGTTCCATGCCTAACATACACGTAACACACACATACTGGGTCAGAGGACAGCCTTTGAAAAGTGTTGGTTAAATGTTCAAACATTTGAATTGGTACATGAACGTTTTGCCTAATTAAATCTGGATCCCTTGACCCTTGCTATGTGACACATGTACAAGCACCCCATGAACAAAAATATGAAAAAAATGGGTAACTGCCAACATAAGACAGGATAGCTCAGTCGGTCGAGCATGAGAACAACATTCTGAAGGTGAACGATTCAAAACTGAATTCTCAATTTTATCCTTCAGCTGAACATTCCGTTTAAAGTATGGGCTTATTCAATTTCCCCCTTGTTTGATGAGCACGTTACCTTATTTTTTTCTATGTCAAACATTTTTCAACACATTTTTAAAATTTGGTTGTTTTGTTGACAGGATCCTATGATTACTAGCTTCAGTCCGAGTGTTGGCCCTGCCGATGGTGGTACAGTGGTCACCATCGAAGGAACCGACCTGAACACAGGCAGGGACATCCAAGCAATGGTTGCAGACGACGTGACTTGTCGAATCGACAGGGAAAGGTGAGGCTTTGGAGGTTGACAAACCCCCGCCTTTGTCTCCAGTTTGGTCTTCATCTCAAGCCCAAGAGTCTTGTGAATCCTGCTTGGTTCAAATCCGGTGAAAATACATACATTGGCCTCGTGAGACAAAATCTGGCGTCTATATAGCAGGAAACAACCCAATAGTTCACTGGCGTCTGTCAAGTCAGGGGACGCCGTGCTGGAGCCTGACTGAAGTTGAAGACGAGGACAAATTAGCCAAGAATGAGTAAACTCTAATAGCTTTGCCAATTTCCCAGCAAAACAAAAGCTTTGCCTTCTCGAGACTGCTTCGTATTCATTGTAAAGACGGCTTAAAAGAGGCGTTTTGTTAACAGAGCCCATGCATGCATCACTTCATTCCTTTTTAACAAGCTGTTTGGACTAGCGAACATTTTTAGTGTTTTTCAAATTTGTTTCTTGGCCGTTGAAACACCTCAGATGTTTTAAAATTGTCGTATTCCATTGTAACGTTATTTTAAAATCTTGTTTCCCTTAGTCTAAGCAAGGAGGCAGTGGTGTGTCGCACCACAAATTCTTACGTGGGCGATGCAGGGAGGGTCTTCTTGACATTTGACAGTGCTCAGAGACGATCAGAAGCAGAGTTCACCTATAAACCCAACCCAAATATCACTGATATCAACCCACGAAGGAGTGTCATGTCGTAAGTGCGATAAGTGTGTTTTAGTCAGACTTATTTGGTACACATGATGGTATACAATGTACACTTAAAACATTCTGAAACCCTCAGAAAACATTTGAACAACCCAGTCAACCCCAGAAAACTCAGTGGTCTAGTGGTATGACATCTGCACCACTAAGCAGGAGGTCGTGGGTTCAAGTCCCACTTGAGCAAGCTTGTGATTTTTTTCTTGGAAGTCCTCTGTAAACACCGAGGATAGAGTGTTTATGACACACGTCGGCGAAGGACAAAAACAGATATAAGATACTGATTTTGTTTGTGGACAGGGGTGGCCGAACAGTGTATGTGACAGGTCGTAACTTCCTACAGATACAGACCCCACAGATAATCAGCACACTGGAAACGGATGGCAACACAACCTTGACATTTCAGAAGGTAAAGTTGTATTCCATTTGCTACAGTTATGCGTTTACAATTGGAAACCACGGACTCTGAGGCAGTTTGGCCTTGATATTTCCGTGACTGATCTTCCTACACTGAGCAAGCTTTGTTTTATCCCATCTTCATAGCCATGCCAAGCTATCAGTGACACCAACATGACCTGTGAGACTCCAGACTTAAGCTCAGCCCTCAGCTACGGAGTCAGGCTTAGTGGCCGCAGCAAGCGCCAAACAGCGCCCTCACCCATCATCGGTTTCATCATGGCAGACGTGGCCAGTCTGCTGAGGTGGTCAGAGAACCAAGCGCCCCCAGGCTTCCAGTTTGAATTCGTGCCGGACCCTGTCTTTGATCGCTTCATAGGAGATGGTAACATCCTTGAGCTGGATGGCACCAAGATCACAATTAGGGTAGGTACAACCTTAATTTATTTGCGACGACGACGACCGAATTTCATGGCTCCGCTACAGCCTACGGCGCTTAAGATATCACTTATACCACAGAAATGTTGTGCTATTTCCGTAAACACAGGATTCCTAGTTGGAGATCCTTTTGCATAAGCCAAACTTTGTTGCTAGTCCTTGAGATATGATAACTATCAGTGCCAAATTTTATGCTGTAGTTACTGGGGGAACACTTACGTATTTTAAACGGTGACTCAGTTTAATGAAAAAGTTTTAATACTTAAAAATATACTCTCATCAAAATGAGTAAAACATTTATGTGTGAGTGGTTAGGTTCTCCCAACATTGTCCTCTTCTTGTTGTCATGGTAACTGACCGCATCCAGGGAAGTGACCTCGACAATGCGCAGACTTCGACGGAGGTGCGAGTGTTTATCGGCACACAGAAATGTAGCGTGGAAGTCTTTGACAGCTCCATCTTGACATGTGAGGCCCCAGAGCTGGAACCAGAGCCCCTAGACTATCAGGGGAACCGGACCAGCGTAGAACTGCCTGCTGTATATGTGAGTACATGTCTATTGATCATCATTTAGCTCATGCACTACACTGATCCCTGATGAAAAATACATACTTTGCTGGGGTGGTTTGGGGCGGTAAAGGGACTAACTGGTTAAGTGAAGTACCTGCTGCTAGCTACACATGTATATCACAAATTAGAATGACGCTATACTCGTAATATATTGGTTTCCAAATTTTAATAAACTCCCCCGATACACTTCAGTATTTGCAAATTTTGTTGGTCAAGTGGATGGACAGTAAAGTGAGCAAGGGATAACAATAGGACTGTTTTTCCATTTCTACCACTGAGGAAGTTGATATGTATGGAGTTCATATTGGTCAGTCATTATTGGCGCATACAGTAGGTTGGCGCAGGCATCTTGGGGCTTCTTATGTTGCCCTTGTCTAGTTCTCAGTCCTATTTAATACTAAGTGGTTGAAGAGTCTGGAGTGTTGATAACACATTGCAACCGATGCAAACTAGTGTACGTACTTGAGCAAATGGATAGATGTTTTCAGCAGCTCATATAATCAATCCCACGGCTATACCAAGCCAATCTTAGTAGTTGATAAAGCGCGTGAGTCTGTGAGGAGCAAGCTGCTGAGGGAGAGGACCACAAGCTTAACTTCAAGTGGAAGGTTGACAAGGGTCCGCCTGCCTCCCTACCATAACTCACTCATTCCTCATGTGCAGCACGTCAATCACCGTCTTGCCGGCCGGCTGCAGGCGTGCTGCTGACCCTAATTTTGAGGCTCCCAACCGTATGAGGAGGGTCTATAGGGTACGTGGCTGAAGACAGTTAAAGGGATACTGCAGCCTGTCTGGTCAATTTTCCCTATCTTGCCCCCATCAATCGTTGATCCTTTGGACACTGATGCTGCTGAAAATGAAGAGGGCCAGCAAGAGAGCGAAGTAGCAAGCGGTATAGGAGGCTATGGAGATAGACCAAGATGATGTTTTCATGAATTCTGAGACTCTGTCCCTTAGACTTCGCCACAACGTCACTTGTTATAAATAGCTCAGTAGTCGTTCTGTAATGACCGATTCAGGAGTTACTAAAGTAATAATGTTCGTCACTTGCAACGAGGTCTATGCGCTAAGTTGTACTTATTTCTCCCGTCCTATGACCTTAAAGATGGCCTGAACACAATGATGAAGACCTCGACATCTCATGACCTACAAGATCAAGATTAATCGTAATTGTTGACATAAAATTGTCTTTCGGTTATTAAGAAAAAATTCTGAACAATAAGCTTTTATTACCACATCAATGGGAGTTGGACACTTTGTCGGAAAATGATAACAATGAAGTATTTTTTAAATAAAATGCCCTTGACCCCCTGTCTTTGGAGCAAGAAAATGACCTCCGATTACTTCTAAACCGCCATCAATCGATTCCATGACCCTAAAAGATCAATATAACGGTAAGCTTTTTATCCACTGGCCATATTTAAGATTTTCATAATATTGGTTCAATATCCAAAACTTAGGGGGTGGGGTCAAATATTGAGACATAACTCCAAAATAAAATGCCACGTTTTTTTTTTATTAAATGGATTTGGTAATTGGGATAATGTGGAAAATTTGTTAGAAAATAAGTAGACCTCAATCACCATATCTATGGGAGCAACGGTAAAAATATAATGCCGGTGGGAAAATGAAAATGGCGCATTTTTTTTTACCAAAATGACCTTGACTTTCGCCGAACACGTGACCTTGACCTCCCGCTATTATAGAAACCTCGAAAATCATTTCAGCATCCCAAAAATCCATAATTTTGACACTAAGATTATCAAAATCGGCTCATTAGTCACTGACATTATGACACTTCGCGTTTTAATTATTCGCACGGCGGCCATCTTTGAAATATGCAAATTAGGGCATCATGGGACATTTTTGTTCGCTGGCAACATCAACATTCTTTAATCCGATGTCCTAGGGATTCTAAAAAATCATCTTAGAATTTTATTTTAGGGGGTGCATGGGAACCCATTGCTCCTGCCGTACTAACAATTACGAAATTTTCGTTCGTTATCGTTGTATCGCAGGTACTACACAGCCGACGGTATTTTTTCATCGGCTACGTCAGATACATTACCAGTGTAGAGATCGCTTTGTACATAGGCATCGCTGCCGCGGCCGTAGCGCTGGCTCTCGTGGCACTGGCTCTCTTCCTATATCGTAAGCTGAGGGGCAAACAGAAGGAGATTGGAGACATGTTGATAAAGATGGAGAAAGTAGAGCAAGCGGAGGATCTAAGAATGGGTGAGTTACTGTGACTTCATTTGTTTTTTCTTGAGCTTCTGTAACTCTTATTATATATAAGGACTCCTACATTGGCTAGGAATGATGCTAGCCTTTCACATCAATGTTTGAGTTGACAACACATTTTTTTTGTGTAGCCTGGTGTTGATTAAGAGCGATAATTCTTAGAGGAAGGGCTAGTTGGCTATTTCTGACCTCTTTCCGAAACGGATTTTTGTTTTCGTTAAGATTTCTTTTTTGCTTTTTCGCAACTTCTGCGGAACAGCCTATGTTTTTCTCCTGATTGTTCGGATTTTCCGCAGCGTTGCAGAAAAATCTTTGCTATTGTTTTCCTTTTTTTTATGGGCCATCTATCCCAAATACCATAGACTTTTTACTGGTCTTTTCTGGAGGCCTCTTTGGCCATTGAACTAAGTCATGTGCAGATGAAACTTAACATAGACATGCCATTAAAGCGATAGTAAAGTTTGTGTCTGGACAAGTGACATCATGATGACGTGTCATGTGATGACAACATAAAGGTGTAAAGGTGTATTTTAATGGCCTATATCTGCAGAACTACGAGGTCGATTGTGTTGAAACTTTTCATGCTCGTAATTATGGAGAAATGTTTTATAGAGGAAAATTGAGGTACAAAAACGTCATCATGACGACATTATGTGATTTATAAACGTTTATGTAGATTATCCATTTAAAAAAGAAGATTATCGCAATATCTCACGAACGCCAAAAAAATGGCTAACTTTTGTCCACCAGTGAAGCACAATATCATTGTCCCTATCATCATTTTTCTAGTGACCTAACCTATCACAGTGCTGATTCTGACCTCTTTCATAGAGACAATGACAATGTGCAATAAAACTAATATCGTTTGGTAAAGGATACGTCCTGGCCTTTTCCCCTGTAGTTTCCTCTTTCTGCAATATTCAGTAAATTTCTGACAATTTACATTTAAAATTGGATTTATTTTATTTTGAGACACCTTATATAATAGGTCTGATTGGGTTGTAACGTGGTGTTTACCCGTACCGGGATTTGTTATAGATGTAAATTAATGTGACGTCATGATGAAATGTCATGTGATGTCATATTCAAATGCCTTTATCTAGGGATCTATATGTCCGATATGGTTGTAACTTGTTATGTACCTAGATCGGGGTTAATATAGACATAAATTGCCTTCACGATGAAGTCATCACATGTCATGTGACCGACTGACCGACTATAGCTGAGGTAAGTCAAGACTTTCGGATACAGATCGATTAGGCAAGTCTTGTTTGTTTCACTTACGCGATTTTTCTTCATATTTACAAACTAAGGAAAGGAAGGACAAAATATCAGGAGTTATAGCCAAGACGTTGCACTTGAAATTAAAAACAAACAAATGGTATCGGTTTCGGTTTTTAGTATGATCAGCTATTTTGTACATAAAAGTTCTACTCGTTTAAGTTAAATTATTAACTTATTACTGCCCTTGTCTACCAGGTCTATATGTTGTGTAATTCAACTGTGCAACATGCAATAAAAAGTTCAGTGTTGTTTTGTACAACGTCCAATCTGACACGGAAGTCATTTTAAAATATAAAAAATATGACGACTTAAACTAAACAGTGACATCCTGAAAAAGGTCACTTTGTGTGACATTTTGTTTTCGTGGATTTGTTTTTCAGAAATGAAACCGGAATCATATCTCATAAAGAAAAAAAAAATTATATATCTTATTTAATTTCAATGTGGAAATTTAATTCAAAGCTTTTTCCTCTTTCTTCTGTACTGGTTGTTCCAAGCTACTGAACATTTAGTGAGAAATTACAATGCCAAGGCGCTATTAACAGAAAAAGAGTTTAATCAAATTAAATAACGCCCTCCATTGTGTCCACAATATCTCAAAAAGATTGTCATAAAAAACAGTATTAAAACTGAAACATGTTCGTACACACAGAGAATACGACGTCTGAGTCGGATGGGCAGCAACTGGAGCTCCCGACATCGGCAGGGACGAGCGCCGCCAACGTCCATCAGCCTTATCCGGGAATTGCGGCCGAGGACGCACAGATCAAGTTCAGCCAGTTACAAATGGGGGATAAACTCGGGCAGGGTAAACATATTAGGAACAATAACGGAACATGCTTCCTAACCCACCACTCAGAAGTCGATTTTTAAAAACTGTTAACCAGGAGTGAAGAAATGTACCGTGTATAGATCGATGCTGTTGTTTACCCACCTTCTGCTCTTTCCGGGTATGCTTGGAATAGCTCTATATCATAGAAAGGAAAGAAAAAAGGGAAAAAAGCACCCCAAGCCTAAAAAAGTGAGTCTCCCCCCGCTTTTCGATTTTGCCGTTGTGCAGCTACGTCTACAAATTTGGGTGCATCAACTGCTGAATTGGCGCAGGACATAGCAATCATTTGATGGAAAGGATACAAATTATCATGTTTTTCATTTCCCTATTTTTTCATTGTTTACTAATGCATGTAATTAAATACACCACTATTGACCCCAATAACTCGCTCTTCCAGGTGCTTTTGGGACAGTTTATCGAGCCGTCTTAAACAATTGGTCATCCGGAGAACAACGCATTGTGGCCGTTAAGACGGTAGAAGGTATGTGGCAATGTATCGTCCCAATTACTCATTATTATCAAGCTGTAATTTTAGTGTTTCCAATTTCCCACATCCGAGCGGAATTCTGGTGGTAGTCCAGGCTTGGTCGGCGAGTCTTGGGCTCGTCACTGTTTGAAACCAATTGCGCTCAGTCATCCATGACTAGGATTTGAGAAACATCTTCATGGAAGCCGATGATGTAAACATACTAACAGACTAAGAGTGCTGAAGTTTACAAATTGAAAATACTTTCAAATGACCTGTTTTGATAAACCCTTTGGGTCATTTAAGTACAATGTGATGCATCTCAAATGATCGTATTCTTGGGCGAACGAGGGCGCTATTACGGCCCCATTTCAGGGATGTAAATATACGTAAATCGATGGTATTACAAATTGCTAAAGCTCAACAATTTTTTTATTTTTTTTAAACAATTTTTGTTAAGTTACTTTACTGCTTCAAAACATGATTTTGTGTGTGTGTTGGTGCCCAGAATATGTGAATTTGTATAGCGCCCTCATTCGGTTAAAAATATAACCTATTCAAACACAGATCCAGATCCTCCCAAAGTCGTCCAATTCCTGAAGGAAGGATTGTCAATGAAGAGCTTCAATCATCCCAACGTACTGAAGCTGCTTGGCTTGACCTTTGACCGATCGGGTCAGCCACTCATTGTAATTCCCTTTATGGCAAACGGTGACCTGAAATCTTTCTTAGTGAAGCAAAAACAGGTAGATCTGTTCCCCCCTTGATTCTTAACATCCACGAGCAAAACTGCACTCATTTAAAACTTGTACAACATTTGACCAGAAAACAAAGTCACTACGTTTTTGTGTTAGTAAACCCCCACGTGACCGTGTTTAGCCAACCAGGATAAAGAATTAGCAAGACGTGAATCCAAAATCAACTTAACCCAAAGCTAAAGTCCAAAGCTAAAGTATTTGTATGTTATTTTCATAATTTATAGCGATTAGATTTCTAACTTTCAATCAGAATTTCAATCTTGAAAATATTGGTTTAACATAACAATTTTGCGTTTTGGCATTTGCTTTTATTTGCGTCGTTGGAACACGCTCTCCCGTTTGTCTCCTGTGTTTCTATAGAACTTGACTCACACGCATCTGACCATGTTTGCCTATCACGTGGCCCTGGGTATGGAGTACCTCGCTGAACAACAGTTCGTCCACAGGGATTTAGCTGCGAGAAACTGCCTGTAAGATCACGAATTCTACCAAATAATAGCCCCCATTATACATTAACGAACATCACGCTTTACGGTTTTTCCCCCCTAAAAATAGCACAGTAATGATGTCAGTGAGGAAAGAGCAGTTAAGTAAGCTAAAGCTTTGGTAAATTTTCTCTCAAATCTCCTACCTTTTGACCTAAAAATTTGGTCAGTGGTCAATGTAACCGCATTAAGTTGCAATATTGTTTATATATATGTTTATATGATACCGCAGGAGGTGTCATGTTATAATTGTATTTACACCGTTTGTATCAGCACCTGTTAACATCGATCGGCATATTTCACAAAGTGTGCCAAAAGTCCGCTATATTTTAGTTGGATATGCAGGAGTTAAGCCAAATAAATCTCCTTATTCAAGGGTCGATGACAAGCTTGTCGCAAAGATAGCGGATTTCGGCTTGTCCAGAGATCTGGACGAGTCCGATTACTACACCAGCGGGGAGAAACAGGCCAAGTTACCCATCAAATGGATGGCACCAGAGTCAATGGAACGTAAGGTGTATGACACCAAAACGGACGTGGTAAGTCTGTACTGCTTATTACATTTTATATAGTTTTCTATTACTCATCAATATTGCTCGTTGAAAATAGTTTCATATGTGTTAAATGTTTTCATATCCTTGTTGGTGAAATATTTTAAATGAAAAACAAAACAAAAACAACCCGGCAGATGTATAAATATCGGCCGTAGGTCGTTCTATAGGGTGTCTAAGAAAAACGAATCATCAACCCCCCTTCTTTTTCACAGCTTACCTCACAAATATCGATTAGAAATAAGTGGCGATTTTTCAATTTGTCCGTAATGGATTTGGGGTGAGGGTAGTTTTGCTTTCTGTGATGTTTTAATCTTTCTTTCTTTATTTGTTTTTTCTTTTTTGCAACAATGGTCATATATCCTTTTGGAAGTAATGGTTGTCCTGAAAAGGACTCTTGGTTAACTTCTTGGATGTTTACTGTGCTGCTCTGTCTCTGCCCTCTACTTACTAGCCTTTTTCACAAATGCAAGTTTCGGCCCGTGTTCTTATTGCGGCAGTCAAAATGTCAGTCGCCGTGGACAAAATGAACAAGCGGTACTTTCTCTGAATATTTATCCGATCTTAAAGTTTTTTTTTTGGTGTTGAAAAGCTAATGAAGCATACTCTCTATTTGTGTATCGATATCGTATATGTTTTTTTTTTAAACTGTGAAAAAGAGGGAGTTTGAGAGTTCATTTTTTTCCCCTAAAGACCCCTGTATATTTTGCTACTGTTTGATATACCAATAGTGGGAAAAATAAACGTATGAGTGGCTCAGTTCAATTGTGAATAATAATCACGGTCCCTTCTTCAATTGCAGGCGTATAGCTTTTCCTCTTTTTATTTCGGGAAATAATAACGCACTGTTCCGATGTCGTCACAGTGTTTAAAATATTGAACCAATTTACAAGAAAAAAATCTCGTCTGACTTACCGCAATTAACAAAATGTATCCCTTTTTCAAATGTCTTCCTCTCAGTGGTCCTACGGGGTACTTCTGTGGGAGCTGTTTTCTCGTGGTCGAACGCCCTACCCTGATATTCACAACAGGGACGTGCACTCGTATCTCAAGCAAGGCCAGCGTATGAACCCACCTAGGTTTTGCCCTACAAAGATGTGAGTAACCCTACTCCTGTTCAATGCAATTTGACAATTGCCATCAAAAATGAAAGTTACAGTTCGAGTTCTAACCTTGTCAACATAATAACATCTATTTCAGGCTGGCGTTCCAGTGTCGCGATGAACCAAACTATTTCTACGATTTGAACAGTTAGGAGTGACTTCACACAAAAGCCTGCTACAGTCGTTCGAAACGACTCCAGAGTGAAAACAAAGTTTGCTCGTCTGAAATTTAAATAGCATTACACTCTGGGTCGACTTTAGTCGCTCCTGATGCTATTAGATCTGATCGACTCTAGAACACCAGTCTGAGCTGACGGTGTTTAACTTTCTTCTTGGTCTTGTCTAGATCTGCCATCATGCGACACTGCTGGCTGGACTCCGCGAAGAAGCGATGGTCCTTCGGTCAAATAGTCCAGGAGCTGGAACCACTCGTGACCCACGCGTGAAGAATTGAAGAGTGGGCCACTATAGGAAAGCCGACGGTGGTGATTACAGAAGGTACCAGCAAAGTTATAGCTCGACCGCCTGACTGCTTGCTCTTACCATTATAGCCTAGGCCTTGATAATATTTGATATGCCTTGTTATGCTTTTTATAATACGCCCATGTAGCGTATATAGCGTAATATTACTTATCATACATACATATTAATCAAGTACCTAATGCATGAGGATGAATAAAAATACATATATATGCAAGGGTAAAATTATTAGCACCCCATATTATCCAATTGTCAAGATAGAGATTAGTATCTGCTAAATCAGTTTTTATATTATATATTATTATATTATGACATAAGGCCTACCAATCATGTAGTTTTCTTTGCCTGTCAAATTTATCCTGAATTTCAACTTGCAGTGGATATGTTAAATTAGCTATGTATTAGTTTAATAGCTAGGTATTTGAGCTGCATGGGCAACTAGACAAGTGCTATGGTACGTGATCACGTGATAGTACGTAATTGTGCTAAACATTATAGTAACTAGTGCGATGTAAAAATGACGTATGCCATTCTGTTGAACCATTGGCGAGATGCGACTTATTATTTTGTACTAGCTAGGTTTTACTTAGCGAAATAGTTTCACTAGTTACAATTTTTTGAAATGCATGGCTTTGATTGGTTTTTCTTTTAATTGTAATCAGATGTAAACTTATTGCTACACCTCTTTTGCAGTTTCTGTCATAGAGTGTCTTTGATGGCTGAAATATTTTCCGTTGTCTTTATAGGCTTTAGTCTCTAACAATCAAAAGCGGGTCCAGCTGCTGAAGGGTTTTTTTTTGGAGGGGGGGGGGGGGGCAAGTGGCCGGCGACCGTTGCAAATTCGAGTCTGGGTAAGGAAAGGGTTTGAGTATAGCACTTCAAACACGCCGTTTGGTTGCTGCGGCGGTGGACGTGGAGGCCTCTATCAACAAGAAGAATCGATCAAATCCATGTTGTTGATACCGACCTCCCTTGCCAAAGGGGAATCCATGCCAATTCAGTCTGGGACCAAGACTATGCATGGCGCGGGAATGCAGACGACCTTATCAGTTGCAAACGAGATGCAAAACTGGGAAACTTTTCTCAAGTCGTTACTGTGTAACGATCGCTCTGACTATTACCAGGATGGCGCCGGATATTCTGGACTTGTAGCCTTCACTTCATGATTGGTTTATACTATACGTACAGAGTAGTATAATCCACGGCCAAGCATGGGTCGAGTGGCATGCATAAACAGACTGAGGCTACTCTAATATTCCTTTAATGCAATAGCTAAATCTATGGTGAACCTAAAAGGTCATACATTATATGTATTATAATCATGAGAGAAAAAAAAGTGGTGTGAGAAACTGAATATCATGTAAAACGTCGAAGGTTATTTTTGGTAAAGGTATAACCAATACCTTTGTTTTATCTTCGATATATTTGCAAAATCGTTGTTTTTCGGTATGGGTTGAGGGGATGGAGTGTATAAATACTCTGTTTATGGGGGATTACTTGTCTGGGGTTTTAACTGAGTCACAAATTTCCGGTGTTTTATAGAGTTATTATATTTACATGTGTCTGTATGCTTTCAGTTGTGATCAGTTTTTTTTAACGTATGGTATGTTGTTTTTAGAGTTGTAATGGTCATTTTTAATCATAGGTGTTTTTAGACTGTACATCAGGAAAGCAAATTTCATGTATCTTTATTGATTGCATGACGAATAAAATTATCTATCTATCTATCTGTCTAAAACAATAGTAAACAAAAATCTGACTTTAATCAATGCCTTTCGAGATTCGAGGTTCCATTGATAGTTTTAAGGGAAGAAAAGTTATATGTACTTCAAGATTTGCATGTCTGAACATCCGCATGGGCGGAAATCCCGGGGGGACAGGGGGACACGTCCCCCTTATGAATTTGGTAAAACGGGGGGACACAATGTCGAATGTCCCCTCCATGTTTTCATGTGTAAGTATGGGTGGGTGACCAACCATGGCAGAGTCTTAGGGTAAAGCCTCTTTGATACGTCGCTTTGTGGCTGAGAACCAATTTGGTTTTCTTGTCGGTTCGACCAAGCTCTTGTACACCTACCCACATACATGTGCTGTACGTGCGTGTTGGTTCATGCGGTATACGTTATACACAATGTTGCCTGCGTACGTCATATAATTTGCTACTCCTATACAAATTCGGCCCCACTCCGGCCCGCAATCGCTATGGTAGACTTGATGACAAGTCGTTAGACTATAGTGGTTTATGTCCGTCATCGATCAGCGCCAAAATCCGCATACCACCGCCGTTCATGCAACGTCAGCGCTACAACCGTTCATGCAGAAGTCATGTACTAACGCGCGGCATGGTCAGTCTGTGTCTAACGACTTGACTAAGACGTTTTCAAGCGAATATTCATATATGCAGCCACTGCAATGCATATGCATTACGTTTCCATAGCGAGGGCCAATAGTAGCCCATCTGGCTTACGAAGAAACACCAAATATGGGGGTAATTATTACACGATCATTTTCAAGTTTCCATTTTATTTGGCAGTCCTGTTTTTAAAATTACAGTAAAAAAGCGTATAACATTGTAGATAATATTAGTACTTTTGCAACTGTCTTTGAATAAAAGGAGTAATATTTAAGTAATTATGGAAGTTGAAACTGTTACGAATAATTGTAAATCCCCTTCAAAAAATGAAGTGCGCGCCGACTGTAAACGTAAGCTCCTCTTGGCCCATGTGGTTTGTTGTAGTTTAACTAATCACCCTGAAAACGAACTCGTTCGCGGTTTGTGCCCATTTTTAAGGTTACAGAACCGCAATGACAAAATGCCCGATGCACACAATGAGGTTTAGAAATATATTGTTGCATTATCAAGGGGGCCATGACCCCCCCCCCCCCAAAAAAAAACCCAAGTTTTTTTTATGTGACATCGCAATAAAGGCAGGCAATGAGTACACCCCCATCTTTTCCTTAAAAAAAAAATTGGTTAAAGTGGTCAGAAATTGCCTCAGATCGCATCACAGAGCATCTAGAATCCAAAAAAAATTACGGCGTGGGTTTCGGGGCCCTTAAGCGGGCCCCGAAACCCACGCCGTAATTTTTTGGACCCACTTTTTTCGGGGACCAAACTTTTTTTTGCCCCCCCCCCAAAAAAAATTGTGTTCTGGATCCGCCCTTGCGGCGGACGCGATTAAAACCACTCATTACAGACTTGATTTCAAGTCTATCGCTATGGCTGCCATACCCCATGGCAACATTACGAGTGGAAAGTTGTCCGTTCAGCCTGTGACTTTTTGTGAGTAATATAATTTCGGGGAGAGAAAAAAAACCTGTCCCGCCACGTTCAAGGAGCGATTTCCGCCCTTGAACATCTGAGCTCAACATCATGTATGATTGTAAAGAATTAATGTCCAAACAAATTTGTGCTAAGCCATACATTTTCTCTAGATTAGGAATGCCTAATAAAGAAGTTGTGTAATTTACAAAGTACTGATATCGACAGCTCCCCTTGCAAGTGAAACACTTGGTACCATTTTCACTTGTTCATGTATTTTTTGTTTAGTTCCCCAGAATAAAATCCCGCCAATTCCTTTTTTATAGAGGATTTTTTCACAGCGCAAAGTCTTTTAGTTGCCAGTCCAAGCGCGTGCACAAAAGAAATCTCGCGGTTCTAATGGTATTCTTTAACTCTCTTTCCTGAAGATCATAGAGCCACCATCTTCATCTTATTATTTTTTCATTACACCTCATATAAGCAAAATGAAAAAAAAAACACCTCATATAAGCAAAATGATTTCCGCTTATACGCAGCATATTGTCAGTCCAAGCACGAACAATCAATTCATTTTTCATAGTTCAACGGGTATCTTTACCTGAAGATATTTTTCCTGAAAATATTTAAAAAGTTACCGTTTTCACCCTTTTTTACCTCTAAATAAGAACTGAAATCCTCACTTCTTGTACGGACCATTATTATCAAAACTTGACAGCACATCACGGTGTGCAGCAATGCTCGTCCAGGCAGGGGCATCACCAAGCCAGTATTTGGCCGTTCCATTGGTACGCCTTCCCCGATGCCTGTCTTCCTCGAAGCTTCAGCAGTGTGTCTAAGATGCCACAGACGCTTTCCTTTGGACTGAGTTTCCCGGCGTGTCTTTTGCCCATGTCTGTATTGACCAACCCAGGATGCATGGCCACGGCTAGGATACCGTACGAAGCAAAATCGTGGGCCATGCAGACGGTCAGCATGTTGACTGCTACCTGTTATAAAGAGGTGTAAATGTGGTAGTCAATTTAAAGGATATGGTCCTAAATACTCGACTAAACTATAGTCCAACCAAATGTAATGTGAACAAACCTCGATTCCAGAAAAGATAATCGAATAATGGTTAACCAAAATTCTCGCTCGACTCTCTCCAAGTGTATATCGTTCCTGCCATACCTTGGTCATCCTGTAGGATGCAGACTTTCCGTTCTTGGTGCTGGCGAGGCTCCCCATTACCGAAGACATGTTGACCACGGCGGCCGTTTGCATGCTCATTGTCGTGTCGTCGCTCGATGTCAGCGCTGCTGCCCTTTTCAAGGCGGGCAGAAATGCCTGTGGACGAGAGAAATAGTGATCATTCACATCTGTACATACGTCTCCTCATAAGTACGGGTGGAGATGGTTGTTATTGTTGAGGTGTGGCCCCCAAATCCCCCGTTCCCTACCTTTGCCGTCTATGGTTGTGGGTCCTACCTGGGTAACCAACATTGGTCCGATGGCATTCAACGCGGTAGAGGTTCACTGAGTCTTCGCAGGTTGCTGTCTCGCAAGTGTGGTCTCGCAAGTGTGGCCCGAGAAGATAGCAGCATTGTTGATGAGGACAGTCAGCCCTCTCTCGCCCACCACGCCATCCACCTCTCTCACCGCTGCTGGAAAGTCGTCTTCTTTAGTGACGTCTTAAGAACCAAATAAGGTATAAAAAACAGGAGCAATTGAAGAAGCAAAAGACAAGACAAACTCTTGCAAACAGTCGTCAAATATTTATCTCCTTAAAAGAAATTACACCTCCAAAATTGGCACTGTATCTAGTGTAGGTAAAAACGTTTTTTTTTAACCCACCAATTCACCATGACGTCATCTAGCAATGATACAATGGGTTCAATCTACAATGTTCCACACAACAAATTCAAAACCATACCAATCTGTAAAACTTTCACTGAAGGATTTTCCATGGCAATGCCTTGCAAATCCTGCAAGAAAATAAAAACGAAGTAATTTACAATGCATAGAATAAAGTTCATTTCAAACAATACAGTAGAAACCATTAGTAGAATGCAGTGGTAGTTCGGAATGAAAATTAAAAATCATTCGGATTTTTTAACACTCCGAATGGGAATACATATAGGTATTTAACTGTGTCAGTCAAGCTTCCACTATTTCCCTGATTTTCGCAGTTTTGGACAAAACAAAAAAGCAAAGTTGGTTCCAGTGAACGCACTTGTACGTTGTATATTTCCCCCCAAAAGTCACAACCACATGTTGGTTGGACCCGGTTGGACCCTGCATTTCTTTTGCGCGCATGTCACACGCGTTCTTATTAAGTTGAAGCGCGCGTGAAATTTGAAACCCCTATCCGGTTCGTTAGTGTGACGTCATCTCAACCATGCGTACTTCACACGGTGTAGCATAGCACGAATGGAACCGGAAGCTAACGCAACCTGAGTGTTTATCCAATGGGTGCTAGTTATCATATCAGTGGTGCATGCGCGTGTAAGACGTTTTTACTGTAACGAACCGGATTGGCCGATGGAGAACTCAGTGCACTCGTACCACCTGTGTGCGTACCGTATACCACATGTAGTTCTGCATGTTAAAGCTATAGTCCATCATTTGCAGCCATCCAAAAAAGTAACTGGCGTATTATTGTTGAAAAACATACTTGGTTGAAAGATAGTAAGAGGACTAAACTCCATGTGAAATTAATCTTTCTGGTAAGTAACCAACGAAAGAAGGCCTTTCCAACGGTGCGTCTTTAGACGCACAGGCGCGCGCGGTTGCTATAATTCGTCAGAACAGTGCACGACATCGCGTAAAGCTGTAATTCAAAACAATTCAAAACATGATTCGGCAACTCTTGATTTGAAATTGAGATCCTAGAATGCTGTTTTTCTCGGAATAAACAGCTGAAGCTGAGCTGAAACTTCATCGGGTTAGTTGTTCAGTATCCTTCATTATATTAGATTTTGAACACTTTTGTTGCTTCAAACGAACAAAATGCACAAATTACAAATGATGGACTGTATCTTTAATGGCCTCGGTTTTTGGCGTCAAATAAAATAGTTCATACCTCAGCATTTACTGGCGAGCGACAACACGCAAACACGTGTTGTGGTGGACTAGATAAAGCCAGAAGCTGACGGACATACTCGAGTCCGATACCTCGGCTGGCTCCTGTGACCAAAACGGAAAACATCTTACTGCCAAAAAGCTGTAGAAAAAAAGGTAAAAATCAGGCCATTGCAACAGTGGTTTCGCACTGATCAAGATCATGACATTTTGACTATACATCATAAAAAAAAGAAACTAATCTGTCATCTAAATTTGATTATGTGTAGATTAGGCAGGGCTCGACACAAAATAAGGATGTGAGCTCACTGTTGCCAAAATGTAACTTGAGTACCGATTTTGTGCGTCATGTTTATCCTAACCTTTGGCCTTGATGAAACGTATTTCGAAAACCGCACGCCCGCGCGCCCTCTCCTGCATCTTACGTCACATACGTTTTCATACGCTTATTAAAAAAGTAATACATTTTATTTTTTTTCAAAACTGCGCGATGTCTGTACGAAATGGATTATAGAAGCCCTGTTTTCCGCACCAAAAAACCTGTATCTTGTGTTGCAAAAGATATTTGCTGAATAACGTGACGTAGAAATCTCATGTTTGAAAGGATTGACTCTACAAAACAAACTTTCAAAATTTTAAGCACTGTGCCGCGCGTTAGAAACATCATATCAGTTCTTACTGCAGTCCTAATTTAAATGTGCCACTATTTGACACATTTGAATTAGATAATTCCAGGGGTTAAGATCGCGCAAGGCATGATGGGAAACAACGTGGCACAGCAAGATCGTACCCATGGAAACGTTGACTTTGGTTTCAAATGTACTTTAATACTTGTCCGTCATTGCGTTTCTGTCCCTTGCGCGTAAGTTATTTTGATGTGGATTTGATTGAAAGGAGGAGGTGATGAACGTTGACATTTTGAGGATTTTTTTTTTCTGGAGGTATGTTTTACGGAACTTTTTCCGTAAAATATATGAACACAGCGTCCGCTCAACATATTTGCATGTGGGGGAGGGAAGGGTCCAACGAATTTAGAGTATGGGATATCTTTCCATAGCTCCAGTGTGAAATAATATATGCGCCCTCTGTTTTAATACACATCAGATGCGTGCTGACAGAAAGGGAACTTAAATTAATTTTCCTGCAAAGTCTGCATAACTGACTTGACGCCTCGTTTGATACGATTTGACAAATTCCTGCGGAGAAATTTTAAATAGATAGGGCCTAGATGTAATGGTGGTTATTAATTTGCATAATGTGAATCAACGAATTCAACGAATTCGTTAAACATAAAAAACATAGGTTTAGATACCTCGTTTCGTTTTATTCCACAAACTCCTGCGGAGATATAGATGGAAGTTAAATTTTAGATAAAATACACACACATAATCATTGTAAAATGGCTTTAATGAATTCGTTGACCCTAAAAACAGAGGTTTAGACGCCTTGTTTGATACGATTGGACAAATTGTTGCGGAGAAAATAGATAGATGTTATAAATATTACCAAATTTGAGAAACAATAGCGAATAGCGTGAACTCAGAAAGAACGTCGCCTGTGTAGCTATCATTGGTTTGCTCGGTACATGTAATTGGTTGCAAATTGACGTAACAATCGGTTCCACCATAGATAGAGCTCTATTTATGGTCCCACTGTATACTTGCGCTTATAACGAAATATACATACTCGTAGCTCTGTACATAAAATGTCGGTCTTTACATAAGAATTGGGCTTGAATCCTGACCTTAGTGTGAACTCCCTAGTCTTTATTATATCTAACCAGTCAGTATACACTTTGCTGACGTACGCCCAGTGGCCAACACGTCCTTTCTCCTTACAGTGGGCCTGTAATCGGGTACACGCTATCGCACTTGTAATAATTGTGCGGAGGTAGAGTCCATAACACATCACCAGCCCACAGACGGGTAGGCTACAGGCTGAAGGTGCAAGACAGAAATAGCAGGTAGAGAAAGGAAAAATAGACATTTGATTCAACTGAAAACTATGTTTATTATTATCACCTTGAACTTACTGACTTACTTCGGTTCGGTCGGACTAGCTGGCCACAAACTTCGAGCAAAAACCTTCGATCTCCAAACCTACAGGTTCACAGGCCAGTGACTCAAAAGCAAAGATCTTATAGCGCCGAAGGCGCAAGATGGGGAACTCCATAGAAATTGGGAAATCGTCATGGACGCCATTCGAGCAAGCAAACCATTGTGCAAACCATTTGTTTGCACAATGGTTTGCTTACTCGAAGCAAACCATTGTGCAAACAATGGTTTGCACAATGGTGTGCTTACCTGAATGGCGTCCATGACGATTTCGCAATTTCTATGGAGTTCCCCATCTTGCGCCTTCGGCGCTATAAGATCTTTGCTCAAAAGGCCACAACAATATGCATGCCGGTGTCACATGAAAATCCGACTCCTATGAAAATCGGACCCCTTTTCCCTATTATTGGTTAATCCCTCTCACGTGACCGGTCACTTTCCTAATTACCATACTTACGCATGCGCGGTATTACCAATGAGTCCGAATTTCATAGAAACGTAAATTCACGCTACACCGGGACGGCGTATTAATTATAAATGACTGTACATGTACGTCGCACGTTGACTGCATGCATGATGTTTTGAGCTCCAGCCATCGGACCATAACGGGCACAACTGTCCAGTTTACAGGTCAAAATAATAGTGACCTCGTTATTGCGATTTAGCCCCTGTAGTCCAGGCAAAATACTTCATTTTCAAAGTGAATCCCCACCAATTTCAACAGAATTTTCTCACCACAGTATTTGCGCGCATTGGCTAACCGCGGTCTACAGCTGCAGCCAGATGCTTCATACAAAGGTCATGATAAATTACCCAGAATGCCATCCCCACTTCCTTTACAAGATTCTGTGAAGCTCATCTGCCCTTCCCAGCGCCCTGGGCAAAGGGGGGTACGAGCGAATGGGGAGCGCTGATAGAATCCCACAATCGGGCACACTTTATTAACTGAAAGTGTACAAAATAATGCACCCTTCTCATTAAGGGGGAGACCGTTCCCATGTGCGTCAAATTCTTACATTTACAGGGATTTTTTTTTTTGGGGGGGGGAACCGCGCCTGCCTAGAATGACATACTAAAAGTCTTAAAGGCAGCGTCCATCATTTGTAATGTGTGCATTATGTAACCTGAAACACTATTTCCCCCCTGAAATTCCACAAAGGAAAAGGACTTGTTCCGAATTACAGGTATCGTTATTTCCCAGAATAATGATATTGGAAAGATTTAACACTGGAATCTATAGGTTTCCAGTCAATCTGACCCATCTGAAACAGTCGTTGAATTGAATACCCGGCCCTCTCAACTATAGTTTTATTTGAACAATTACACATGTAGTCCTCAAGAGGAGCCATTCGCTTTCTAAGTTTAGCACTGACTTGATGAATAAGTTCGTTCAATTTCAGTTAAAAGGTTATTCATTCATTCAAATTCATTGAAGCCGGTATATATCATAAGGTGTATTAAGATTTCAGTTTTAGCAGTGGACACACATTTATTCACGTGTTCGTATTCAAATTTGTGTCTGTGCTATTTACTTTCAGGTTTATATTTCAACATGATCTGAATTTACGGCCTAAATAAACAAAAATAAAGAGGATATGTTCAAAGAATTACAAGAAATGAGAACAAAACTTTTTGTTTTTATTTTTTGTTTTGGATTCATGAGACTCAATTTTTTTTTAAAAAGTTGTCTTGATAGTCTTCCGATTGAAAAAAAGGCTTGAAACATTAATTTTAAGAAAACAATGCAAACGAAAAATTGCTAGGATAGAACTGATCTAATAAGCGGTAAACGCTGAGAAAACCGCAAAGTAAATGGAGAACTGTACACTCCAGTGAAAACGCCATTTTGATTTTTATAAATAGAACCCTTGGCAATTATTGATCAAAAGCTTATGTGCTTCGATGATTGTGGGAAATTTGATTGAAAGAATATGGTAGAACTTCAACTGATAAAAGGGTCTGAAGAAATAGAAGAACTAAAGTGATATATTTTTCAAACACAAACTTTTGAAAGTTAAAGATATTTATTTCCACCAGCTTGGGTCTCTAATGTATCAATCTGCTTCTGGCACCTCACCATCTTCCATTACTTCAATTTTTACCCGGAATTTTGATGTTCATTCCCATTATACTCGTCAAATCTCTAATTTTCATCTCCCATTGACTCGCACAACTTTAGCCCAAAAAACTATTAGATATGAGGGACCCAGGCTGTGGAACTCCTTTACCGAGAACCTGAAAACATCCAAAAATGTGTCTACTTTCAAACGGATATATAAATCGACCCTGTTGTATAATTATTATGATCCCGTGTAACCCATTAACTTCGAGATTGCTCATGCAAAAAATCTTATCCTGCTTGTTAACTGGCATGTAAAAATTGTGTATTGTCCTTGTCTATTGTCTGTCCTGTGTCTTATGTATTAAAAGCAACTTTAAATTTGTATACAAGGGGCCTACGATTACAAGCTTAGCTTCTTAGTAGGTTCCTCTACAGTCTCACTATCTGTTTATATAGTATCTTTTTTGTATTAATTACGATCATTAAAAATGTGGCACTGTGGAAAATAAATGAACAATGAACAATGAATGAACAATATACTGTGTGCACAAAATAAATATATATTTAATACATTATTATCATCAAACTCTTTCGGTTCTGTTGGGAAAAAATGCGTGAGTGTGAAAATGAACAAAACTTCGTTGAAACTAACAAAATCCCCAATAATAGCATTCTATGGGACAGCACTCAACTGAAACACTTCTTAATGTTAACCTGTGTCGTGATATATATATATATATAATTAAAAACAAATAATCAAAAAATAACAGCGTTGCTGTTGAAACCCCTCAGCCAGAGTCAAGTTATCATCCGGAAACCATTAACCTAACTCACCACGGTGATCTTTGACATTTGATCTTTTGACCCCAAAACCAATCCAACTTGCTCGTACCCAAGGGCAACACCCTATCTAATTTCTAACTCGAGTTATCATCCGGAAACCATTAACCTTTAACTCACCACGGTAACCTTGATCTTAATCTTTTGACCCCCAAAACAAACCCAACTTGCATATTTCCAAGGGCACAAAATAGACCGAAGATAGAATCCCAAACAACATTTCTAACTCAAGCTATCATCCGAAAACTAAGCTGCCTGGACGGACAAGCGGACGGACGGACGGACGGACGACGAAGGCGATGGCAACATACCTCCACCCTTTCGGTTGAGGGGTAAAAAACTGAACTTACTCCTCAGTCCGCCATCTCGTGAGTTTCACGTTTGGTAAAGACTTCTTTGGCAAAGTCGTCAGGAAGAAAGTCTGCATGACATTAAAAAAATGATGTTTTTTAAATTACAGTTGAAATATTTGATATTAAAATTGTAAAATGTTTCAATGGATGATTTGAGAAATGTGTTACAATTTTTATATTTTATCAATACATACGGTATTAACAGTTAAAACAAGCGAGAAACTCACAAATATAAATAAAGATGTCCCACAATGTCCTATTAAGATGCATAAAGCATAATAGCCTAAAATAAAATGGATGAATGAGGTGAGGTGTGGTTAGGGTGTGGCCTAGGGCGTGGCTGGGGGCGTGGCTAGGGCATAAACGATATCAAATCGATTTTAACAATTACATCGTAAACTCACAAAGTTGAGGTAAGAACTCGTAACGTAACATTTGCAATTCAATTTCATCGAGCATTTAGCCTGACTTTCTAAGAAAGGATATTAGGGCTACATGGGGGGGGGGGGGGGGGGCGTGGCAGCAGAAGGATATAATAAGTGTTGTCTCAAATGTTTCCTGACAAAACTATCAGATTAAATATAAGAAGTGCCATACTTATGTTGCTTTTTAACTTCTTAAGACCAATACGCATGATTGGAGTAAAAATGGGTTGATGAGGTATTGAGTTTCTGTGATTTTTTCGGGGGGGGGGGACAACTATTTTGCTTTAATAAACAAATTGGATTGAATGTTCACTACAGTTGAGGTATTTATTGAAATGGTTCTCATTCCGAGTACAATATTATAAGAAGCAGAGTTTTTCGGTGCAGCAATACACTGTACTTTAAAGTGAAATCTGTCCTTGTGAGCAAGATTGGTTTTATTACTTCACCACTCCAAAGGGTTTTTTTAACATCACATTAAATGTTTCTCTTATCACAGGAATGTCCTTCAGAAACCAAAGAAAGTTTGACTGACCAACTGATCCATAAAACGGAAATTGACCTTATACAAAACACACAATTTATAACCCTTTCCCTACGTAAGCTATATTATAAAAACCTGCCCAGAAAACAACCTAAATGTATCCTGTTAACGCACACAATTTCCATGTTTTGTTTCTGTGTTTATTTGGAAAGGTTGAAAAATGTCGCCACTACATGTTAAGTTAAATGTAATGGAGTTTGCATTTGGCCGCCAAACTCAGACTTGTGACTCAGACTTGTAACTTGTTCTTAAAAAGAAGTGGTTTTATAGCTGAGAAAATAGCAAGGAAGAACCGGTTTGTGCAAGCAAAAATTCAGGGATAATCCTTAGATATTAATATCTTGTTGGGAAATTCCAAAATCATTTCAAGATGGTTGCCGCCGTGAATCGGAGTTTATAAATGGGAAGGAAAATGGGATTTGCTATCAGCATCAACAGGGCCGTTCCTCATTTTTTACCTTTGATGGGATGTGAATCAAATTGGAGGACGAGAGGCTCTGTATTTTTATAGGAAAATATTTTTCTCGCAAACACGGGTGACCCTACCCCGGTCGAAGGGGCGTGCATTTGTATCCTTGGAATCGAACCTTGACTCCAAAATGATCCATGTCAGTATACATGTACACTCTTAATACGACGTCGTTAAGTCACATGTGGAGTAGGCCAGACCAATAAAATGATTTTACGGCTACACATGCATGATTATTCACGAACCGAGCTAAATGTCTCCTGCAGTGTTACTGATGGAGTACTCGTACTCGTACTCGAGTACAGCTCGAGTACACGCAAGTACCCGGCACGTACTCGACTATCAGTACTCAAATTATTTGGAC